ACTTGAAACCATGCATGTCATCTGAGGAAGTGTTAGAAGGGCTGGGGCGACTTTGCCTGGAGAAGACTTGAAGGGGACATGAGAACTGTCGGCAAGGATTTGGAGGCCTGTCATGTGGTAGAGGCAGCCAGCTCATTCCTGGCAGCTCCAGAGGGCAGGCTCAGGACCAGCGGGGAAAGTTCTAGGGAGAGAGATTCAGCTCTGCACAAGGCACAGCAGCCCTTCCTAACAATTGTCTGGAGAGGACCTGCTTTCTGCTTTCTGCTCCCTGCAGAAGTTCCCTGTCACCAGCAGGGCTGCCCAAGGGCTTCGTGCATCCCTGGGGCCTAACTCTATGATTTTCAAGGCCCCTTCCAGCTGGAGACAGTGACTCCATATGCAGGGAATGGTTCACTCTGGCTGGTAGGCGAGAATACGCTTGCACCCCTTGATGGCGACATCTCCCTTAGGATCTCCTAAAGATGTCGGCATGCTGGCCGAGGACATCATGTCACTTTCATTCACAACATCAATGCAATTTGCAGTGGCAAGTGTTTATTTCACCCTGCCTTTAAGGGCTGTCCGAGGGAGGCTGAAGGGTCTGGGGAATCTATGGGGGACGTACCAGCTGCCTGGAAGATGACAACAGCCACCCGCACTGTAAGGGATCCTGGGGCACTTATCTAGAGGGGTTCAGCTTTCCTTAGCAACATAACCCCTTCTTCAAATGGAATTTTCTGCAAAAGCCCATGAGCACAGAAAGAAGTGCCACTGTGGCTGAAGAGGTCTTGAGAGATCACAGCCTTATCTGCTCAGCCTCCACTCCCCAGAGCCCCAGAGAGACTCCAGGCAACCCTAGGGGTTCCAAAGAGTATACTTTGTAAACCAACCATGTACCTCTGTAGTTGGTATGATGTCAAAGCAAAGAGTATAGAATCCAAGCCGGACTGCCTGAGTTCAAACCCGGGCTTTGAACTTGGACATGGTATTTGACCCCTCTGTTCCTCAGTTTCCCCATCTGTAAAATGGAGAGAACTCATAATGCTTGTCTCTGCTGTTGCTGTGACATCATGTGGAGCACCTGGAATACCTGGCTTGTCCTCTGATCGGGGAAGGGTCAGGGTCAACTCTTCCACAGATGAAGGCACTGATATCTAAGAGTCAAGTGTCTTATCTGCCAAAAGGCTGGTTAGCAGCTGGACTAGGGTTTCAGCCTAGTTCTAGACCCCAAGCCAAGGGCTCATTCTCCCGTGCCCACAGAATGCTAATTGCTTAAGATGGGTGTTTTGTCGGGTTTCTGGGGACCTTTCAGAGTGTGCCCCCTAGACTCTGGGATCCGGAGGCTTCTGTCCCTAGGGACTCTCTGACCTCCAGCAGAGGTTAAGGATTGTTTTTTGAGAAGGATGTTGTTTGACAAAAAAGGAGGGAGCTCCAGGAGGGTGACCCTTGGAGAATTCCCCATGGCAAAGAGGTATATGGGGGAGTGGGGAGTGTGGAGAGGGCACCAGGGCAGAGGAGCCTACTTGGAGTGTGGCCATGACCTCCAGCTGCTTCCTACTGTAACTACCAGATCATGAGCTTGTGAAACACCCCTCTGATCCCATCCTGCCCCGGCTCAAAAGCCTACCATGGCTCCCATGGTCTACAGAACAAAACAAGCCCCTTGGCTAGATAGACAAGCCCCTTCCCCATCAGGCCCTCCTTTCCTTCCAGGCTGGTCTCCCTGAATTCACTTCCCATACCCTAAGTCCCACTCCTCAATGTGCCTGACACTTCTCCCACCTCCATGCCTTTCTCTGCCTGGAATATCCTACTTTCATCTCACTTCCATCAGACTACACCGAACACCACCTCCTCAGAGTGGCCTTCCCAGATAGCTCCCTCGTCCTGCAAGATTGATCTTGTCCTCACTTGTGCTCCCAGAGTCCTTTGTTTATGCCTGAGATAAAACAAATACCAACAACCATACTAATAGTACCCATCTATTAAGTGCTAACACACCCCTGTGGGAGACACTGAGTGGTTAAGACACTTATCCAACGTCACACAGCTATTAAGAGGCAGAGGTGGGGCTGGGCACAGTGGCTCACACCCATAATCCCAGCTGTTTGGGAGGCCGACACAGGTGGATCACCTGAGGTCAGGAGCTGGAGATCAGCTTGGCCAACATGGTGAAACCTCGTCTCTACACAAAAATACAAAAAATGAGCCGGCCATGATGGTGGGTGCCTGTAATCCCAGTGACTCAGGAGGCTGAGTCAGGAAAATCACTCGAACCCAGGAGGCAGAGGTTGCAGTGAGCTGAGATCATGCCATTGCACTCCGGACTGGGTGACAAGAGCAGGACCTCGTCTCAACAAAAAAGAGGCAGAGGTGGTTTTTTCTCACACTGGGGTTTTTTCTCAGGTATTTTGGAGTCTGGTGCCCCCTGGCTGGGTATCCTGCTGTTTGAAGGTTCTGAGGCACCCGCATGCTAGGAGATAATTCTAACCTGTCTTCCCCATTTGAGTGGTAGTTCCTTGTGGGCAGGGCCTGTCCCCCCACAAACACACACCCTCATAGATAGATAGATGATAGATAGATAGATAGATAGATAGATGATAGATAGATAGATAGATAGATAGATAGATAGATGACAGATAGATGATAGATAGATAGATGATTGATAGATAGATAGATAGATAGATAGATGATAGATAGATAGATGATTGATAGATTGATAGATAGATAGATAGATAGATAGATAGATAGATAGATAGATAATTTTTTTGAGACAGAGTCTTGCTCTGTTGCCCAGGCTAGAGTGCTGTGGTGCAATCTCAGCTCACTAAAACCTCCACCCCACCCACCCCATGCCAGGGTTCAAGCCAAGCGATTCTCCTGCCTCAGCCTCCCAAGTAGCTGGGACTACAGGCGCACATCACCACACCCAGCTAATTTTTTGTATTTTTAGTGGAGATGAAGTTTCACCATGTTGGCCTTGAATTCCTGACCTCAAGTGATCTGCCTGCCTCAGGCTCCCAAAGTGCTGGGATTACAGGCGTGAGCCACCATTCCCACCCATAATATATTCTTAATAGATAGTTGTTGAGGAAAGCTCAGTGTAAGAAGGGAGTTTACTTTATTTCAAAGTGAGTTAAACAAAGGAAAGTATGGGCTCACCTGCTTTCAGCCCACACAGTACCCCTAGTCCTTCCAGTGGGGCTAGGCAGGTTCCATGGGGAGAGCTGGGAAACAGACCTCATGTCCAGAAGGCACCTTTGCCCATCCCTTCCCTGGAGGCCCGGCCATGGGGCTGTGGTGCTGTGGTGGGGTGCCTTGCCCTATTCTCACTCGGAAGGTTGGAGATCAAAGTCCTAGCTCTCCCATTTGGCCTGAGAACTTTGTCAAATATGGCCCCTCCAGCCAGTTAGAGCTGTGCTCCTCAGCCCAGGAGAGGGAGGGGCAGGACCCTGGTGTCTGCAGGTTGTCCAGGTCAGAGCTCATGGGTGCCGTGGGCCCTGAGGTTGACAGTGAACTGGGAACAGGGGCTTCCTGGGGGTTGAGGCTGCAGACTTGGTAGAGGAGGAGGCTGAATTGGCCTGGCAGGTGGATAGGTGGGGGCCTCTCAAGGGTGGCCTTTCCCCACCGCTAGGAGGCTTAGGAAGTCAGGAAGACAGAGGTGGGGCCCAAACAGGGTTTTAGTAGAGCAGATAGAGAAAGCGCTTCCCAGTATGGTGGAGTGGAGAAGGGAGGGAGCCCAGAGAGCCCTGAGAACTGATGAGAGTCATCCCTGAGGATGACTGCTGGGCCCTCCTCCACCAGGCTCCATGGCCAAGCAAGAGAGACTGGGAGAGGAAGAAAGGCAGAAGCTAAAACCACAGGAACCAGGACCAGACAGATATCGTCAACTCTTAATTACCACGATCACTGGCACCAAAAAGCCCACGCTGGCTCCTCTGTAAATAAACAGCCTCTCCTTGGCTTTAGGATGCATCCCAGCGCACACAACGGATTCATTGCGCATGTGTGATCTATGCGGGTCCCTCCAATCACTCCCCCACATGAGAATTTTTCGTCAAAGTTTTGCCATTTGGTTGGGGCTAATGTTTACAACCACCTGTGAGGAGGGCAGGGGAGAGGGTCTGATCCGCATTTACAGAGGAAGAAACTGAGTGCTTCTGTGAATGGTCAAAGCCACACAGCCTGGGATGGGGTGGGATTCAGACAGAGGCCTGAGGTTTTCCTCCCAGGACAGGTCTCATCTTTGGCGAGTGTGTCAAAATTTCCACTCCTGAAGTGTATGGCCCGGTGGCACTTGGGATGGGAGCATTTAGGAATTACAGATGGGTGGCAGCCATGGTGTGGGGGGGGGAGTGAGCTCGGGGGATAAGGGATAAGCCCAGTGGGTGGGCTTCCAGACCGAGGAAAGCTGGGCTAAAGGGGGCAACAGCTGGCCAGAGGGTTCCAGAGATTCCTTTGACTACATAAATGGCTATGGTCTTGGGAAACAAGACCATCTGCTAGTGCCCATGAGGCAGATGTCCTCAAAGGGGCTGGCAGAGCTGGCAAGGACCCTTCGGACAAATTTCACTGGAGTCGCAGCTCAGAGTGTGTGTGTCGTGGGGGTAGCAGGTGGAAGAGTGCTGTGTGGGAAGGCTGGACAGGAGCAGTGGCCTGTGGAGGTATTTGACAGGTGAAGTCTGGCTGAGCTGAGGGCATATTTGGCCTCTCCCTTTGAGGGTCTCAAGTTTGGAGAGTGGCATAGATCCCATGGACTCACATAGGGTCCATGCAGGGAGAGAGAGAGGAAGATGCCAAGTGGCACAGTTTCCCCATTTTACAGATGAGGAAACTGAGGCACACAGAGAAAACTACCCAAGTTCATCCAGCAAGGCAGAACTGGGAGTAGAACCTGGGTTTAGAGCTCCCAGTGAAGGGGCCAGATGGAAGGGTAGGGTGGTTGTTCTGGAAGGCTCTGGGCTGAGGGAGGGTGGCAGGCCATGGCCAAGGAGGGTCTGACCTGTACCTGTCCTCCCCAGGGGCGCCCTCGCGAGACGTCCTGCTGGTCTCTGCCATCATCACCGTCAGCCTTAGCGTCACTGTTGTGCTCTGCGGCCTCTGCCACTGGTGTCAGCGCAAACTGGTGAGGCTTCTGAGGGCCCCTGGAGGGCGGTGCCTGGCGCTGCATCCCGCCCGGCAATCACAGGTTCAGGAATTTTCCCAAGGCTACACACAGGTGACTCACCTGTGCACATTGTCAGGGGCACTTCCATAGAAATTCAGACAATGTGCACATGCATGCACGCACACCTTGCGTTTGCCCGGGTCTCGGCTCTATACTTCTGTGTTTACACCCAAAGCCACGCATCGAGGGACACATTCGGGGACAGACTTAGGATTCACAGGCATTCGTACACCAGCAGCTATACACACACACAGACACGCACACACACACACACACACACGCCCTGCCTCCCGCATAAAGAACCGCAGACACACATTCGCAGACTGAGAATGGAGCCCCCACCCTCAGCGCCTCGCCCCCTCCCCTCCGCCCTGCTCCCCCCCATGGGCGTGGCCGAGCCGGTGGCCAATGCGGAGGCGCCGCCCGCCCCACCCCCGCACATCCATCCTGGCTCTCGGGTTTGTACAAGCACAAACGGCTCCTTTTCATTTTTAACGAGGGCTGGGGAATTAACGAGCAGGATTAGGCCATCAATAAGTAACGAGACCGTCAGGAGGGACATTCATCCCCCGAGGGCGCCGGTAGGGAGAGCGGGGCTGAGCCGCCCCGGCCGCAGCCCCCGCCGCAGCCGCCGCAGCCCCCGCAGCCACCGCAACCCGCAGATTCCCGGGCTGCTGGCTGCTCATGCTAGACCCCCACTCCCGGCTAGACGCCCCCACTCTCGTACCCATTCCTGCCGCCCGGCCCAGAAGTGCAGTGGGACTTTGGGGGCAGCAAGGGGCGGGGGGGGGAGATGGTGGGCCCGGGGGTGTCCGAGGTGTGACCCCTTCATCGAGGTCGGGAGAAGGAGGGTGACTAGCAAGCACCCCCATCTCCCCCGGCCAAGAATGGTGGGAGTGGGGGCAGGTCGCCACCTCTGAGAACCCCATTCTCTAGCTGCGCAGCCACAGGGGGTCCTTAAGGACAAGAGGGGAGCGCTGTGGCTGTGGGCACTGGGTAGGTGGAGGCATCATGCCCCACTCCTCTGGAGGAAGAAAAGGGGCAGATACCCCTGGGAAAGGGTTTTGGGGTCTTGTGAGAGACCTGCAGGAAAGGCCGGAGAATCTCAGAACCCAGAGTGCCTCCTTCAAGAAAGGCAAACTCAGGACTTGGGAGCATGTGGCTCCATCCCGGGGGTTGAACTTCAGGCAGCTGCGACCCCTGGGGAGGAGCCGTAGAGGAGGCCAGCTCTGCTCCCTGTGCGAGTGTGTGTACGGGTGTGCCAGTGTGTGTGTGACCCGGTCCCCCTCTGCCTGCAGGTGTGTGGAACCGGGCTGGCTGCCCTGCTTTGTTACTGGGTCCCCTGTGTCTGCGTCTGTCTCAGAATTTCAGGGAAGGTGGTGGAGGGGGCTGGGCCATGTGCCTCTGTGTGTGAGTGTCCTTGGAGGCTGGGGGTGTGGCTGTGCGTAGCTGCAGCCCTGAGCATGTTGTTGCAGGGCCCCTTAGGCTGTCTTGCTGTCTGTCTGGATTTGAAGGCCGGGGAAGAAGGCTACATGAGTAGGCACTGCTGGTGACCTTGTGTGTGTGTTCCGTGTGGTGTCTGTGCTGAATGTGTTGACTTTGAGGGTATTGGTGCAGTGTGTGTGTGTGTGTGTGTCTGTTTGTCTGTGTCTGTGTATCTGTTCACCCCTCAGTGGTGGGATGTTCATCAACTGATCAGGTCCCTGTGTGAGCCAATGCTGGGGTCTGTCCCACCATCCTGGCCTCCCCTGCATGTGTGCTGCAGCGTGTGTGTGTGTGTGTTTGTGTGTGTGTGTGTGTGTGTGTGTGTGTGTGTGGTGAGAGGTGCCCTTGCAGGACCAGGGTTCAACTGAAACTGGCTTCTACTCCACCCCCATGCACCTCCATCCAGTCAGGGGCAGGGCCTGGGGACAGGAGTTCAAAGATGACAGCTTTTGCAGCAGATGGGGGGCTGTCAGCACAGATAGGATCTTGGGAGCTGAAAGATGCAGAGGCAGCCTCTTCCCTGGTCCCAGCCCCTCCCCGCAATCCCCTGCCAGGAACCCTCTCAGGGTCCAGACCACAGGCTGTCCCTCTTGACTTGCTCTGGAGAGAATGTTACACTCCCCAGTCCCCCTAGCCCTGCCACCCCCGCCCCTCCGCCTCAGTGGTTCCAGAAGCCAGGGAGCTCGTTGCTCCGGCTGTCTCAGGCTGTCTCCTTATTCCATGGAAGGGACTTTAAAATGCTGTCCCCTCCCCCAAAACACAGTTGTTGGGCTCTCCTTGCCTGCCTGTCCCCTCAGCAGCAGTGACGTGATTCCCTGACAGCCCAGATCCCATTTCCAAACATTAATAACTTCCTTAATCTCCAGCTGGCTTTTTCCGGATCAGCCTGGCCACCCCTCCCTGAGAAGCGGGCTGGTGGTGTTGGGCTCCTTTGGAGCTGCCTAATGTCACCTGGACCTGGCCTGGGTTTCCTGTTAACTTGGGTTGTCCCCCTGCCCTCCAAATCAAGTCCTGGCCTGGTTCCTGTCCCCCATAGCACCTCAGCTCCTGCTGCAGAGCAGTAGTCGAAGGCAGAGGGAAAGGTTCTTGGAGCTGGGGAAGGAAGAGGGACTGACAGAGGCTTCCAGAATGTCTGGTGGAGGGGGATGTCGTGGAAATGGCTGACCCTGCCCTACCTGGCCTCAGGGAAGGGGCAGCAGACCAGCCTGAGGAGAGGGTGCTGGCCGGGGGGAAGCTCTCCTGCCAAGACCAGAAAGAAGGAGGAGAGGGGTGAGGGGTAGCACAGGGTGCCCTCAGCAGCCCCTCCTGCCCCACACTGCCTGTGTGCTGGAGAATAGTGGGGCGGGGCTCCTGCCTGGGGGTCCTGCCAGAGGAGGCCTGAGGTCATTGTGGCACTGCCCTGTCAGAGATTCCCAGCTGGAACTGGGAATTGTTTGAAATTTGGACCTCTGGGTAGTGATGGGAGGGATCAGAGATGGAGCTGAGAGCGGCAGCTTTTGTGAACCCAGGGAGTCCGGCATCTGTATATTTCAACTCTTGAAGTTCTAACTTAGAGGCAGCTGCTGGGGCCTAGACTCCGGGGAGGGCAGGGCCATAGAAGGGGCACGTCCAGGTAATGATTTCCGAGAACTGCCCAGTACCAGGCTCCACACTACGTACCAGCAACCCACAGCCTTGCCTCTGTGGGAGCACGTGCCCGGAGAGAGGAGATGAAGTAAATAAACAGAAATACTCACATCTGTGATGAGAGTCTGGAGGGCTGAGGAGTTTTCCTTCCAGGGGATCATCTGGTGAGGCCACGCCATTTCAGAAAGGAGGAGAGGCCAGAGAAGGGAAGGGACTTGGCTAGGGTGACAGAGGGAACATGTTGCCCCAGGCAACGCTGAGGTGTAGGACACTGCTGGTGGGATGAGGGAGCTTTGCCGCCAGTCTCCCTAGATAGGCGGCTCCCGTGCCTGGGAAGGGGTGGCCCCTGGCAGGAGCATCCAGAGCATGGCTGTGACAGGGAACATGTCTGAGACAGCTCTTACTTTGCTTTAGAGAGGATAGAATAGTCGGCTGTTGTGGCTGTGGTGCTGGTGCACATGACAGGGTGTTGGGAAGCATTTGCATTCGCACGTGTGTGTGTGTGTGTGTGTGTGTGTATGTGTGTATGTGTGCGTGCCCGCGTGTGTGCGTGTGTGTGTGCGTGTGTGTTTGCAGCCAGGGAGGAGCAGACCAGTGCCCAGTGGGAGAATGTGCTGAGAGGGGCAGCGCCAACCCCCATACAGCCCCTGTCTCCCCACTGCCCGAATCAGCCCTGGACCTGGCCCAGGTCCGTGGCCCGTGGGTGCGCATGAGGATGCTTGGTGGCAGTCAGGAATGTTAATGGGTCTGGGCTCTGCATGAGCTAAATTTAGAAACCCAAACCGAGAAGGTGAATGGTGCTCACCTTCCCGGCAGCAGGCCCAGTGTCACTGCGGCCACGGCCCTTCCCTTAGCTGGAGGATCTGGGGTCCCTACTGGCTGCCCTGCCCCCTCCCTCCCCCTGCTAGTGTGAGAGACTCTGGGGGACAGAGGCCCAGGCTGCCTCCCCACAACTGCCTCTGAGTCAGCGGGCAGTCTCTCTTCCTAAGACTGCCTTCCTGAAACAAGCTTGCTCCTGTCTCACAGCCCCAGGGCATGAGGACCCTCCAGGGAGCCCCCAGACAGTGGTGGACACAGCCCTGAGCAGGACTGAGGACGTGGCCTTCTCCCCACCCCCACTGCTCACATCACTGGCTACTGCCAACCTTGCCCTGCAGGATGCCACCCCCACCATCTGGGGGTGGTGACGTGGACAGTGTGACGTGGCCAGGCGCCTGAGAGCCGTCTGTCCGTGGCAGAGGGAACTGTGTTTCTGGGAGCCAGGCCAGAGCCCCAGGAGATAGGCAGACAGGAGGGGCTGATCCCTGGGAGTCAGGGATGAAGTTCAGGTCAAGGCAGGTGGGGCAGGTCCTAGAGCCCGGTGGGAGCAGGCATCCAGGGGATTGGTCCCCACTACAGTGACACCCTCACACACTGCTCCTGGCCTTGTCGCCATGGCCAGACTCCAGTCTGTCTCCTTTCCCCCCAAGTCCCTGTTCTGCGGAGGTGGGGAGGGTACAGTCCTGTTTCCCAGGAGTGACCCCAGTCCTATCTCCACAGGGCAAACGCTACAAGAATTCCTTGGAGACGGTGGGCACGCCAGACTCAGGGCGTGGGCGCAGTGAGAAGAAGGCTATCAAGTAGGTGCCAGTTTGGGAAGGGGCCACATAAGCAGCCCAGGTGGGAGGAGCCCCTTCTCTCCCCCAGCCCCACAGACCTGACCACACACACTCTCAGTTCCCCATGCCCCAGTGCCACGCTCTCTACACCCTCCACACGCTCTCAACAACTAAGGGGCCCCGTCTTTTCAGCCTGTGCCCGAGCCCCTCGAAGTGCTCCAGAATCCCCAGCCCCCGTTCCCACTGCTCTCACCCCCAGCCCTGTCTGCGCCCACCTCAACCCTGGTTGCCGCTTTCTCATCTGACCCTCCTGTCACACACACTGTCCCCACCCCCCGCAGGCTTCCCTGGACCTCCAGGCCACTCCCATGGGGCCCCTGCTGCTGGGCTGGGGAGCCCCTCCCTCGTGGGCCCCAGATTCTTTTCTCAGATCCTGCCAGTGTTCAAGGATGATCTGGACGTGGGGAGGCAGACACACCTTGTGGACCCCAGCTGGCCCCTGTGCTGGGCCACTTGGGAAGCAGAGCACTGGGGAGCGGCCTCTCCCTCCCCGTCATCCCCACTGGCTGCTGCTTGTCTGGCTGCCTCTGCCTCACCCAGGTCTCCTCGTTGTGCTGGAGAGCCCCCTTCAAGGGGTCTGCCCTCCCCCTGCAGACCACCTTGGCCAGCCCTCTGCTGAGGTCACTGGGAGACACCGAGAGAAGCCCCCCCACGCCCCTGGGGACTCAGGCCACCCGGGCGGTAGGAATGGAGGCTTTCGCTGGTGGGGAGGCCTCTGTGCCCACTGGCCCCAGCCCCTTTCTCCCTGGTGAGCCCAGAGGTCAAAGTGGGTGTGGTGACCCCACACCTCAGCCTGGCCTGGGCCAAGCCTCCCAGCCAAGGGGCTCTGCCTAGAAGCTGAACGCCCCCAGCCCTCCCTGCCTCCACTCTTCCTCCCTCTCAAGGCCCAGCCACTCTCCCCCTGCCCTCTGGCCTCTGCCCACTGCTGGTCTCCCCTGTCTTCCCCTGTCCATCTTTCCCCTTCCCTTCCCTATTTCTCTACCTTCTCTTCTCCACTCCTCCCCGACCCTCCACCCCGATCCCGAGGGCTCCCTCCCAGCCCCTCCTCTGCCCCATTTTGTTCATCTCTTGCACTGATCCTGTTTGGGGCCTTGGCAGAAGCTGCGTGCATGTGTCTGGGGTGGGGCAAGTGGAGGGGTGGGCCAGGCGGAGGCTTGGGGCAGGCAGGAGACTCAGGAGGAGATTGCGGGAGCCTTTGAAGCTGGGTTGGTTATGCAGGCTCCAGTCTTCAAAGCCAAGTGCTGGCAGGGCTCAGGGGCTCTTACGGAGTGCAGGCCGGGCTTTCTGAAGGCAAGAGATCACGTGGGAGAGCGCAGCCAGCCCAGCACCTGTGCCTCCTCCAGGCCAGGCCGTTTACATCCGTGGGCCAGGGCTGGGGGCCTGTCTCTGCCAGGTGATTATAACCTTCCTGGTTAGGGATACATGTGGCAATGCCAGAGTCCTGGAAAGGGCCCATGAGAGGAGACAGGATTCCCAATGGGGGGAGGGTGGGCAGCAGGCTGTGCCAGGCTGGGACCTGTGCCCATAGGGCTCTCTAAGACAAGGTGAGGCAGCAGCGGCCATCCAGCGTGCCTCTGTGGCCCTGCAGCCCCCACACTCACAGTCCTAGCCTGCCCCTGACACTGCTGAGTGGTCAGACCATCTGCCACGAGGGAAGGAAGCCACCATGTGTGTCTACATGCATCTAGGCGTTTGCTTCCTTCCGGAAGAGAACGGAAAGGGCCCAAGTCAGGGGAGTCACAGGAGGCAGAGCCTCCTTCCTGCACAGCCCTCCATGGACTTACAGCCCCCCACAAGGGATCGCCTTGTCAAGGATTCTGGGGAACTGTTCTTTAGCAGTGCTTTCCAAACTGTGTTCCTCAGAGTCCTTGTGCCCCATAGATGAGTCATGGCTGTTCCACGGGTCAGGGGTCCCATGGCCAAATACATTTGGGGAACACTGCATACTCTGTCTCCCACTTGACAATACTGATATTCATGGGCACATTAAAAGCTCTGAGAAGCCCTGCGGTAAAGGAATCAGTTTTTGCCAAATTTCTTTAATCAAAGGTTGTTTTTTCCAGTACCACAGTGGAAAAACTTGAGGGACCCTGGAGCTCCTCAGAACACAGGGTGGGAAACAAGTCTGGCAGTGGTGACTCTTGGGGGCTTTTTCTCTGGGACCAAGGGTTGGATGGCCCTAGATTCTGGAGCTCTGGAGGCAGCAGGAAAGGGAGGCTCCTACCTGCTTCATCTCCCTGACACAGGGAGGCCCCATCCATACCCTGTGTGAGGCTCTGCCGGGAAGGGACAACTGTGGTGGGAAGGGGAATTTTTGTCACGGGAATAGGTTCCTCTGGAGCCTGTCCTGCCTCCTCCAAACCCGCCAATTACTGCCCCTGTGAGCAGGCTCTATGCTTTGGCTTTGAGCCCTGTGCACAGCGTCCCCTGTGAGACATTTCAGAGGTGTACTCTGGACAGAGAGATCTGTCTACACCGGAGATACCCAATGCCACCATCTCATCTGGGTCTGTGGTGGCAGCTCAGCCTCTCTCCATCTTTCTCTCTTTTGTGCCTGAGTCTTGAGGTTGAGAACCAAGGTTAAGGTCAAATTCTAAATGGAGGAAGAAGGAGGTCCCCCAAGAACATGTCTGCTTGATCCTGGGGGGCGGGCATGGCACCCTTGCCCATACTGCCCTACCTTGGCTTTGGGGAGCGGCACAACCTCAGCCCTCTCCATGCCCACCCCAGTGCTCCACAGGGGGCCTCTTCCCTAGAGGCATTCCTGTGCCTCAGGCATGGCTGCCTTCCAGAATAGTCACTGTCTCTATTCCCCCTGGACTCCCAGCCCTGCTTCTTGGGGTCCCAGTAGCCTGATGAGCTGGCAGTGCCACTTGTCCTTGGCTCCCAGGGTTTCCAGGTCATGCCCTCCACCAGCCAAGGCTTCTACCACTCACTCCACCTGCAAGTCCCCATGTTCTCAGGAGAAGGTGGAAAGTCCAGGGTGAGGGTCCATTCCAGACCCAGCAGCTCCACCTTGGAAAGGGACAGGGGCACAGGGAAGGGCTGCCCCAGCAGGCAGGCCAAAGACACACCCAGAGAAGCACAGGTTCCCGCTACACACTCCCCAGAACAAAGGACTGAAGGGCCCACTGGTTGCCTTGGTGACATCCTCAGCAAGTTTAGAGGTCTGGGAATGCTCCCCTTTCAGGGAGGTGGGGTGACCCAGCTGCCACATTTGCAAAGAATACAATCTCCAGCTCAACTAAGATCCCCCAGTCTGAGTTTAAAGCTGCAGCTCAGCCTCATGGAGTAGAAGAGAGAGCAGAGGAAGCCAGAGAGCCCCTCAGGCCAATGGGAGGAGAAAGATGGACACAGGGCTGGGCTTGTCCCAGGAGGACCCCAGTGAAGAGAAGGTGGAAGAGGAGAGAACAGGGATTTTTAGTACTAGAGCTTCTACTCTGCAGTGAGAGAGCTGATGGTATAGCAGTTACAGCCCATCTTCTCCTTTGACAGGCAGGGAAACTGAGGCCAGGAAAGGAAGGGCCCAGCGAGTTGGCAGCGGGGCCTGATCTGCCTTTCAGCTCCCTCAGCCAGAAACAAGCACTCTCCTTCTCCCACTCCCTCTGCTCACCTCAGGCCTGGTCCTCAACCCCTCTCCCCTCTGTCCCCCACCTCATCATTTTCTCTCTCCCACCAGCTTTCCAGGTGCGAGGCTCCAGTCCGCTGCCTGCCGCTTGCCTCCTTTGTGTGTGGCTTCCCGGCCCTCGAGTGTGTGCATGTGTGCGTGGGTGTGCTTGCACAGGTGTGCGTGTGCGTGTATGCTTGCGTGTGCCAGGCACAGTCTGCAGTGCCCGCCTGCCTTTCTTCCTCCCGCAGGAGCTGACCCTCGAAGCCCCGCCCTCTGTGCCCAGCCCCTGGGTCCTGGTCCCTTCTGCCCCCGCAGGACTTGCAGTTCTTGTTTCTTCTTGTATCTCCCTGTTTTCTCCCCTCTCTCTCTGCCCCTCCAGTGATCTAGACAGAGACTTTTGGAATAACAATGAGAGCACAGTGCAGCAGAAATGGAGCTCCTACCCTCCCAAGGAGTTTATTCTAAACATTTCACCCTACGCCCCTTATGGCGACCCACGACTGTCCCTCAAGTGAGTGACTTTACCTGGTTTGATCATATGTACCGAGTATCCGCGCACACCCTCCTTCCTTCCTCCCACCCCCACCCGCCCCTGGCCCCCCTCACTCCCTCTCTCCTCTTGCTCCTGTCCCAACTTCCCCACCCATCCACCCCATGGGCAGGCCGACCATGGAGACGAGCAACCCCTCCTGCCCCCATCCACCTGCCTGCCCGATCCCGTCCCCTCCCCCAGGGCCAGCCTTGCAGGAGAGCCCCCTCGGCAGCCACACCTGGCCCCCCTCGCTGGTCCCGGGGCCCACCCCACCTCTGTGCAGTCAGGATGGGGTTGCCCGTTTGGGTCCTGCCCCCCCGGTTGTGGTCGCTGCTTCCTTCCCGCTGTGTGCTGCCGTGGCTGCTCGGTGGTCGGTGGTCGGTGGTCGGTGGTTCGTGGCGGTGGTGGCGGTGATGGTGGTGGTGGTGGTGATGAACTCTGACTAACACGGCTTTCTCTTTCTCCCTGCCTTGGGGCCTCCTGGCCTGGACAGCCCGCTCTTCCTCCGTCGTTAACCCTTCGTTGTCCTGTGGGATAGAGTGGAGGTGGCTGCCCTCCCCCAACCCCCGCCGCCCCTGCCCCAGGCGGTGGGGAGGGGCCCCCCTCCGTTGTCGTGGTGCGTTGTTCTCCGACCCCCAGCCCGCCCGGTCCCCCTCTTTCCTCTCTGCAGGCTCTGCTGTTAACCCATTTGCAGTGCTGATGTCTCTCTCTCTCTCTCTGTCTGTCTCTTGTCCGTCTGTCTCTCTCCTCCTCCTCTCTCACTGTCTCTTTCTTCCTTTTATCTGTTGTTGTTTTTCCTCTTCTTCCACCCTCCCACCCCCACATGTGGCCCGCCCTCTCTCCCCCACCGCCACCCCTGGTGCCCCTCTGGCCTGGCTGCCTTGTGCATGCCTCCAGTGGCACCCTCCTGTCAGGCGCCAAAGTGGCCGCCGCGGCGGGGCTGGCGGTGGAGCGGGAAGGCCGGCTGGGGGAGAAGCCGGCGCCGGTGCCGCCACCCGGAGAGGACGCCTTGAGAAGCGGCGGGGCTGCCCCCAGCGAGCCGGGCAGCGGTGGCAAGGCGGGGAGAGGCCGCTGGCGGACGGTGCAGAGCCACCTGGCCGCAGGGAAGCTCAACTTGTCCAAGTGAGTGATGGCACCCCATGGCTGCCGGAGCCGTGAGCTCAGGCCTGCCCTGCCAGGGTGGACAGCGGGACCCCTGGCATGCCCGCTGCTGCCCCCAGAGGTGCCGTCCTCGGCCCCTGGCTCATTCCATCCCTTCATGAGACTCTCCCATCGTCCTTGCCATCTGGCACAACGAACTCAGCCATACAGTATCGCATTCCAGCCTCTGGCTGATGCCCCATCAGTCCTTCCCTTTGCCAATGACCAGGTCATTCCATTTTCTGCCCCCAGGGCAACTTCATTTCAGTCCCCGGGTCATCCCATCCTCTTTTTATTGGCCGCCCCATCTCAGCCACCAGGTCATCTCTCCATGGGCAGCAGGTCTGTGGTTGTTCCACCTCATCCTGGGAGCTGGCCCATTCTCAGCCTGAGACTCACTCGTCAGCTCCCGGGCCTTCCCTCTTACGGCCAGCAGATGGCTCTAGACCTAGAAGTTGAGCCATTCCATTTTTGACCATCGGGTGACTCCATTGGCTGTCCCAGTCTTGCTTGAACCATACACCATCTGTTGCGGAAGCCACTCACAAGCAGCCGCAGGCTGCCACATCGGTTCATCCTCATCTCAGCCATCCCCATTGGCTGTCCCAGTCTTGGTCAACGAGCTATCCCACCACTGGTTGTTGGGACAGTGTATTCCTGAAGGTTGGGTTGTCAGACCCCAGCTAGCTTCTCTGGCTAGATGTCATCAGGTGTTCTAGACGTCAGGCAGAAGCAGCCATCCCCTCTTTAATAGCTGTCTGAGCTTGTCAGACAGGCCCACTCTTGGCTGATGGACGTAGGCTGGGTCCCTGTTCTCCACAGATAGTATATTCTCATGAGGCAGCTTTGTTCTCATCTTGGCCTTTGGAAACTTCCAATTCCCCTCAGCAGAGCCCTTCTAGGCCCTGAGTCCCTTGAGTTGTGACCAGTCTCACCCCTTGGGGTAGAAATTCCATTTTCAGAAGTTGGAACTGCCTCATTCCCAGCTAATAGAGCAGCCTCCCACTTAAAAAGGCCAACACCCCTGACCCCTTCCTAGCTGTTGGGCCATCCTGTTGCCTCAACTGAGGGCCCTCCTCGTTCTTTTCAGAAGACCTGTGGTTTCTGCCACTGGGACCACTGAAGGCCACCGTGCTGAGATCTCATTCGCTAGTTGGCTTGAGTGCACACAAGCCAATTTCTCCCGACATCTGGCCTCAGGAGGATCCCACAGGGAAGCCACCCACCCTTCAAAGAGCCCGGCCCAGTGCCCCACCCTCCTAGCCTGCCCTGGCCAGTCTCCAGGCCAGCTAGGCCTCCATGCCATCAGCTGGTTCCAGGCCTGGAGGAACCAATTTGAGTTTCCTGTGACTGAGAGGTTGTAAATTGGACTAATTTTCGATGTGATAGGAAACCAAAATGAGGTCAGCAAGGGGGAGGAGGAGGTGACTGTCACTGTGCCGCCCTCCCTCTGCCTCGACCTGCCCCCAGGGAGCTGTGGGCCTACCTGGCCAGCCAGGCCTGGGCCTGCTCCTGGAGGTAGCCCCGATTTCAGGCCTGAGTCAGGCAAGCCTGCCGCCCCTCCAAGACCCCAGCTAAAGCCACGTTTTGCTTTCTTCTCTCTTTGTTTCTCTCTCTCTTTACTATACTCTTTCTCTCCGTCTTTTGCTCTCTCTCTTTTTCTTTCTCTCTCAGCCCACAGGGGTAGCCTAACTGTTGTCTTTTGGTTCCCAGGGTAGGCTCAGAGGGTGAGCAAAGCTGAGGGCTGGCTGCTGTGGTGAAAGTGGCTCCCAAGGGCCCTGGGGCCTTCTCCCTTGGGCAGCCCAGGGGATACTCGGCTGCCCAATGGCCCTAGACCAGAGGCCAGCAAACTTACTCAGTAAAAGGCCACTTGGGAAATACTTAGGCTTTATAAGCCATACAGTCTTGCACGACAACTCAACCCTGCCATTGTGGGATGAAAGCAGCCAGAGACAGTATGTAAACTCGTGCCAATGGCTTGGTTCCAATAAAACTTTATTTTGCAGAGACAAGCAGCAGGCCAAATATGGTCCACAGACCATGGCTTGCTAATCCCTGCCCTAGACCATTGGATTGAGAGGTGGAGGGAAGAGACAGAGGAGGAGGAGGTTGGAACCCCTGAGGCTCCAGGATGAGAAATGATTCACCCAAAGCTGTTCATTCAGCCCAGTCTCTAACTATGGTGCCCTGGGAGGCAGCCTGGCTCTGGCCCTGCTTATGGGATATGGTGAAATCTCCAGCCCGCGCATGAAGCAGACAGGCTCCCCAGAGGAGGCCAGAGACTTCTGACTGCAGCTGCTGGCACGGCGACCTTTTACTAGTACGGCATCTTCAATACAGCACACCTCATTAAGTCCTCATGGCAACTCTGTGACAGAGGAAGCTTGGAGATTATTTTATTACTCACATTTGGTAGATGAAGAAACAGGCCCAGAGATGTGGAGTAACTTTTCCAAAGTCCCATATTCAGTCAGTCGCAGAGGCAGGGTTTGAACCCAGGTCTCTCTGAGGCTATACTGCATCTGACCAGCCATGTCCTAGTTCCTCTCTCTCCTTGCCCCACTTCCCAGTGCATTTCACAGACACTGAGGGGCCTGTGGGAGAGCACCCCCTGGCAAATGCATCAAAGATAGTCACCCCCTTCTCCGTTAAAACTGTGGCAAAGTGTCGGGGGAGTGGGCACTGGGCTCCCACTTTGCCTGCGCTCTTTCCTTGGTCCAGTCCTCTAACTGGGAGATATTCCCAAGGTCCCAGGAGAGGATGCTGGACCTAGGAAACAAAGAGCCCTGGAAAGATCCACGCCAGAGCCTGAATCCTAAGGCTGGCCACAGGGCGCAGGTCTGCTACTTCCTCGCCTCTGTGGACAAAGTATAAGAACTGATGGCTTCCCTGGCCTCCCCAGGATTACTAGGCCAGCTCTGCACTGGCCTGGATTTCTTCCTGTCTCCAAAGGATGGCAGTACTTAAAACACAGAGGCAGACTTTCCTGGTGTCCCCAAGCGGGACAGCGGGAGGGCCACAGCAGCTCCCTCCACCCCTCCCACTCCAACATGACAGGCAGCCGCAGGGCCCTGGGGACCTGCCTTCACCACACAGCCTCAGCAGCACTCGCAGCCCACTCAGACCAGCAGGAAGGTCGGCCCAGCCAGGAGGTATTCAGGCACTAGCTGAGCCAGGGCCAGAAGGTGGGTGGGCGGGGCCGACCTGAGGCCTCAGGGTGGGTGCAAGGGCTTTGCAGCCACCTGGGCAAGGCGGTGGCGGCGACAGCAGCGGCGACAGCTCCGATGGAGGCCTGGCGAGGTCCAGCAGCGCGCACCCTGCACTGGGGCCTCCTAGTCCTGGCCCTCGGCTTCTTTCTCCTCCACTGTGATCCCTTCACCTGCTTCTCCTTTCTCTCCTCTCCTCCACCTGCCCCAAGTTTCGAGGACTCCACCCTGTCCACGGCCACTACCCTTGAGTCTATCCCCAGCTCCACGGGAGAGCCGAAATGCCAGCGACCCCGCACCCTGATGCGGCAGCAGAGCCTGCAGCAGCCGCTGAACCAGCACCAGCGGGGCCGGCAGCCCAGCCAGCCCACCACCAGCCAGAGCCTGGGCCAGCTGCAGGCCCACATGGCCTCAGCGCCAGGCCCCAACCCCCGGGCCTATGGCCGGAGCCAGGCTCGGCAGGGCACCTCGGCCGGCTCCAAGTACCGGGCGGCGGGGGGCCGCAGCCGCTCCAACCCGGGCAGCTGGGACCACGTGGTGGGGCAGATTCGAAACCGAGGCTTGGACATGAAATCCTTCCTGTAAGTCCTCCCCTTGAGCGGACCGGCCCCACCTCCCCGACCCAGGCTCCTGCCCCCCACATCTCCTTGGGAGCAGCTGGTCGTGTGTGCCTCCTGGCCCTCCATCCCCTTGGCAGGGTGCCAAGCAGACTTGGCAGCCCCCTCCTTGGTGTCTTGTGGTTCATGCCTGAAGACCACCATGGAAGGATTCTGAGCCACCTCCCTATGAGGACCCCTGTCCCCCTCAGTGTTCTAGGGCTCCGGGAAGTTCCCCCCTAAAAGTTAGTTGGAGACACTAGACAATGCCCTGAGATACATCTCTTCTTCCCGGCTAGTCCCAGGCTGCTCTTGGCCTTCCTGCCAGTCTTCCTTCTGCTCCTGCAACCTCTCTCTTACCCCCTCAGCTCCCAAACCCATCCCTTTTACTCATCTCCAGCCCCACCTCCTCCCCTGCAATTTACTTCTTCCCTGTAACCCGACTCTGCCAGCCTTCCTGGCCCATACCCCTCCCTGCGTCTCACTTCCTCTGTCCCGGTCCCTGCCACCAGCCCTCCCCCATCTCTCTGACCTTCTGTAGCCACCTGTCCTCCAGCCCCTGCCCTGGCTTCCCAAGTCTCCTTCCTCCAGTAATGACCCATCCCCTGAGGACAAACCTGAGACGTTGCCCCAAAGCTTTAGAAAAGGTTGTTTCTAAATCGGAGCATTCTTTCGAGTATACAGGCCTAAGAAGTAACAATACACCAGCAGTGTCTAACCTTAACCATTCCCTCCAGCCATCCGCCCACCCTTACTCTCCCTGGAGGGGACTCACTCAGGAAGCCCCCTCCCCAGCATCCCTCTAAACATTTGTCCCCACTCTCAGAGCCTAAGAGGTCTGGGCTGCCATCCCCGACATCACCCCTCCTCCACCCTAACGAGAGCTTCCTTCCAGGCCTTGGGGATTATTCCCATCGCCCAGGTCTTCCCTGGGAGCACTTTTCACGGAGCAGACCAGCGCACTAAGCCTGGGAGAGGAGAAAGGGAGGAGGAGAGGGAAGCATTGGCAAGATATAGGGATTCTGAAGGCCAGCACGTCCTCGGAGCATCCTGTCTCTCCCCGACACCTCAGCCGGGGCTTCCTGGGCAGATGGGAGTGCTGCCATGGGAGAGGCACCCTACTCGAAGAGGCCCCACTGTGCCAGCTTCCCGTAGCCATGCAAGTGGCCCATGGCCCCAGCCAGCCAGACATGCTGCCTGCGACTCTCCTTGGCAAATCAGGGCACCATATTCTGAGGCTCTATCCCACTCGAAGACCTTCAGGAATCTAACTGGACACCTGCACCAGACAAGGTGCCCAGAAGAGCCTCCCGGCTTCCAGCTGGCAGTTTGTTTTGGGACAGAGGCTGTGGTCCTGGCATGGATCTCGGAGAGTTGGAGGAATTGGTTCTGCGTGGCTTGAACAGGACTGAGAGCCTGCACGGCCCCTGCAGCCCCCTGTGCCTCCTCACCCCAGACTGCCTTGTCACAGCCATCACCCTACATCCTGTTCTAGCAGCCATCAGACTGGGCCAGAGGCCTGCCGGGAACCTGGGTGCCATCTCTTCCCTGCCTCCCGCCTTCTCAGCTAACTGGGATTGGTCCAGCGTCGTGCATGCAACAGCATCCTCTGTCCCCACTCTGTGCCCCAGGGGCAGTCTCACGTCCCCGAAGCTGCTGGCAACCTCCAGAATTCACCTTGAGGGTCGGCCAACTTTTCCTAGAAAGGTCTAGATAATAATGTAGGCTTTGCAAGATGCATGTGATCTCCATCACATGTTCTGTTTTTTCCTTAAAACAACCCTCTAAAAATGTAAAAACCGTTGTTAGCTCGTGGGCCGTACTTTGCCCCCTGCCTTATAATTTAGCTGCCCTGCTTCTGAGGCTCTTCTCTCGCCCAAACACTGGTGGCCCCAGTAGAGAGGCAGGTGGCAAGGGTTGTCCCGGCCCCCCGTGACCCCACCCACCCCTCTCAGGGAAGGCAGCAGCCCCCTGCTTGATGGCCCTGATGCCCCCAACATTGCCAGCTTCTCCCTCCACTCTCCAGCCCCTGCCCCTCGTCCTCACCCTTGCGGCCTGCAGAGCTGGAGAGAGTGACGAATCGGGAATTTATGCAGAGGAGCTGTTCTGTTTTTAAGAAGAGAAAAAGGAGTATCTGAAAAATGCATTAACCGGGGAAAAAACATGTTGTTTTCATTGAGTTTGCCTTCCCCCAGCACAACTAGCTCCCAAGCAGCCAAATGGAATTTTACCAACTCTGAAACAGCACCAGTGGGCAGAAAACAAAGAAAACGAGGATTCGTCCTAAGGGAAGGGACAGAGTTGTTTCCCGAAAGTTAGATGCTGGCACAAGTGTCAGCCTGGAGTAACTGTGCCCAGGACCAAAAATGCAAAGACAGGGAAGGACAGAACAGCCACTTAGCTCCCTCTGTTCACTGGGACCCCAGAGGTAATGTCCCATTTTCCAGGACCCTCATGCCCTCATCCCTCCCTTCAGAGGCTATTTCTCATGTGTTTGTTCCCTCTTTGAAACCCGCTCTGAGAAGTTAGGGCAAGTTCTTTCTCTCCGAACCTTGCCTTCCTTCACAGTGGTTGAAGTGGTAGACTTCCTGACCCAGCATCCTCTCCCTTCCAGAATATTCCATCAGCCCTACCATCTTCCCTTTGGCCCTTCTTGACCCCTCCCTCTCCTTTTGTCCTGATGAGAGGCCCCACGCTGGAGGAGCTCCACAAAGCACCCAGAAAATGCTCACAGACTCTGATGGCCTTCAGCGACAGCAGGGTCACCACCGATGCTTCCTTTTCTTCCCTGGCAAATGTGGGTGACCTCACAAAGACTCTGGCAAGTTGCCCAGTGGTGCTCTGAGAATGCCCCATACTAAAGGTGTCACACCTGGCCTCACATGGCTGCCCACATGTCCACTCCGAGAGTCTCGCCTTCCTGGCTACCCCCTGTTCAGCCTTGACCATGCTCCTTGAAAGCACGATCTCGCACTGCAGGCACAGGGTCCCTGCAGTCCTGCGAAATCTTCTCCAGACCTTGCCAAGTTCCTGCACTTTCTCACCGCCTTTGCTCGTGAGGCCTTCTGGACCGCTTCTCCAATGAAAGGCCCGTGACCTGGGGTCAGCGGTGGTGGTCATTCCCTGGATCTCCAGCAAGGAGGACACAGGAGACAGCCGATATGGCCGGGTCGTCATATACCACAAAGGACTTTCTTTATCCTCTGATGGGCTTGTGTATCCAGGAGCCTGAGGCTTGTGTATCCCCGCCTGGCTTCAAGGATGTCTGGTTGACCATGACCCGGCATTGTCTCTGAAGGGCTTCCAGAGGACAGGATGCCGTGCCCATTGGATTTCAAAACTTTCTAAGCCTGCAAGGTGCCGGTGCAGGATAGTGATGGAGCCCCTCCCTCTTCTCCCGGTGGCCCAGATGATGGTCAGAGCGAGTCCAGCTGGGCACGCATTAGCCTTTGGAAATCTATGGTGTCCCAGGGCCTATGCTCCATTCCCCCCGCCCGACCCCCACCCCCACCGGGTTCCCTTGGGACTGTCCCAGCCATGGGCCACCTCTGCAGGCCTCTGCCCAGCCCCTTGCAGTTTAGCTCTGGAGAGTCTTGCTCTTGGCTCAGGCTGGCGGAGTCTCCAGGCATAGACGCCTCCCTTCCCTTCCTGCCTTCACTATCCCCACTGTATCCTGCGACTGTTGACACTGCTGAAGTTTGCTTTCTTTCCTGCAGGGCCAGTTTCTTACACTTTTTTCTTCTCTCTCTTTGTCTCTGTCTCTCTCTCTCTCTCTCTTTTTCTCTCTCTCTCCTTCCCCCCGCCCCCGCCCACGGGGCCTCCTCTTTCCACCCTGGCCGGTGGGCTGCCCACCCTGGGCAGGGAAGGCCGGATGGTGGTGCTATCCTTGGTCTTAGGGCTTTCGGAGCAGGATGACTTTGCCAATATCCCTGACCTGCAAAACCCAGGAACCCAGCAGAACCAGAACGCTCAGGGGGACAAGAGGTATGAGCACAGGCGAGGGCCTGCGGCGACGGCGGCAGAGGAGGAGGCGCGGAGAGGCCACCTGCCTCGACCGGCCCTGGCTGCTGGACGAGGTGGTGGTGCCTTCAGCGGATGCTGGAGCGGGAGGACAAGCCCTCTCCCCAGCCGGTGCCCTCACACACAGCCACCTCGGTGGTGTCCCCGGGGTCTGAGGCCACTCGCGGCCATCCTGGGACCATTCTGGATCAGGCCTGCTCTCCGGCATGCTTGCCCCAGCCCGGAGCAAGCGCAGCCTTTTCTGCCCCATCTTCCTGCTTGGCTCCTCTCTGCTGCCCCTCCATATTTCATCTCTGTCCCCACCCCAACCAGAAATCCCTGTTTCTCTGGTGGTTGGTGGGTGGGGGGGATGTTAGGGAAGGGGCGCCAGCCTGTTCTCCCTCATCCCCACCCCCTCAACCTCCCTCTTGCCTGGAGGTCCCATTGGGTTGCTTGGCTGATGGAAGAGGAATCCACGGTGGGAGGGTCTGGGGCACGGGAGAGGCCTGGTGACCAGAGATAAATAGAAGGCTCGCCCCGAGCCAGGGCACCAGGAGGGAGCTGGGGAGGGCCCGGAGCGGTGCAGGCAGCCATCCTGAGCAAGGGTGAGGCCTGGCTTCATTGGATTCCCTGTCACTGCTGCTGGCCTCGGGACCCTACGGAGACTGGGAATAGCCTGTATAGCCACAGCACAGGCCAAGAAGAAGGCTGGGCATTTAAACTGCCATAGCCTCAGCTATCGGGAATTCAGGGAAGCAGCTCCTTCTGTCCCCTGTCTCAGGGAAGGGGGGATGCTGCTCACGGGGAAAGGGTAGGGGAGGGAGGTCACAGGGTTCAGGTGACATCCCACAGCTGGGGCCATTAGATGCCTGAGCTTAGTTGGGTTGACCATACCTGTGGTTCCCAGGATGAATTAGCCATTGGGAATCATGGGAGGAGGGGCTGTCACTTTGATCGGGTCTGCTTCTCATCAGACCAAAGGCCTGCAGGAGAGTGTGTGGCCTGGCAGCCAAGACAACTGCCTTCCAGCTCTGGATCTGCCTGAGCCTCACTCTGCATCCTTGGGCGACTCACAGCCCCTGTCTGGGTTCTCACTACTCTGGCCAGCGAAGGATTGGTTGGGGCAACCTCTAAGGAATGGCCCCTCAGGGTCAGATATGCAAAGCTTTTAATGAGTGAAAAAACAGACCCCTGGGCTGGAGCATGTGTCCTGTGAGCTGCGCAGGGACTATTTGGACGGGCCATCCTGAGGCTCTTGAGAGTCCCCTAGGAGTCAGAAGGGACTGCCCCTGGGCATGTGGGCTAGGGAGGGTGGATAGGCTGAGAAGCAGACAGCTGGCTCGCCTGTCCCTCTGGTGGCTCCTGGAGACCACCCCTCTCAGTTTCGTCCCATCCTGAGTCCACAGTGGCATGGTCTGTGGTGGGCAAGTCTGGAAGTCTCTAGAGAGTGGGGTCAGGTCTTCCACTCAGTGGCACAATTGGTGTCAGCCCTGAGCCCACATAGAGGGATACAGGAGGAGCAGAGCCTGCCAGCCCCCACCCACTGGGCACTAAAGGAGCTGTGACTTCCTGAGTCAGGGCCTCAAAGCTGGGCTGCAGAGCAGTCAGAGGGCCACTGGGAGGGCCAGGGGCGAGAAGACACAGGGGGTGACTGGAGTCCTCTGAATGCCCCGCTAATAACATGAGACTGGTGCTGGGAAAGGTGTGAAGCGTGAGGGAGCAGATGCAGGCTGGAAACGAGATTTCACGTCACCCATGTGTTAATGAACTGGCTCCATCGTCACCCGCAGTCTATTTTTACCTCCTCACCTCTTGGGTCTCACTCCATATTTAACACACCCATCCCTTCTGATCATCACATCTGCTTGTCCCCTGCCTTCCTGGGAAAGGTGGGTGTGGGAGTGGAGGCCATGCGCCCTTGCCACCACCCGGCCTGACTTTCCGAGTGGACTGTGCCATTCCCGCCTCATCATGCCCACCCATCCTGGAAACTCATTTCTCATGGCCCCTGGGGTGCTTCTTGGGTTGTAGGCTGCCACAGGAGTCCAGAATCCAGTGCTTCCTTCCCAGCAGACTCTCCCCTTCCCAAAGCTTGGCATTGGTACCACCCACTGGGCATTGAGCACCTTAGGGTGCCACCCCTCTGAGTTCCTGGACCCTCAGACCTGGGAGTGGTGGCCTTGGGGGATCTGTCCCTCCCTCTTCAGCCTTTCCTTCTAGAATAGACCCATGGTCTGCCCTTCTGTCCCCATTCCTGCCCTTCCCTCCCTAGGTAACCCTTGACCAGGAGGAAGGGGTGGTGGCCCTTGGCTGTCACTGGGGAAGACACTCAGCCCCCTTGGTCTGTTAGCAGCAGGCTCATGGGAGACAGAGTCCCAGGAGGAGGAGTGACCATTCCAGGTTCCAGGCAACATGGGAGCATGTCCAGCAAGCAGCAGGAGAAGGGAGGGCCAGTCACTGCCTCTGTTCCCACGGTTTTGTGTCCCTGAAGTCCCCCATCCTGGATACTTCAGCTCCTGGGCCTCAGCACAGCACTTCAGAGTGCGGTCCCAGGAGGGGGAGGGGAGGGAGGCCCTGGCTCCACGCCCTGCTGCGCCCATTCCACCCTCAGCCACTCTGCTCCATCCACCCCCTCATGCAGTCTGCCATCGTTTCACCATTGCTCCTTGGGATCCAAATGGTTTCCACCGCGGCCCACCCCCACCCCAAGTGGGGGACGGGGCAAGGCGGGGACCAGGCCTCCCCCCATTGCTCTCCCTACTCTGAAGCCACCATGTTCCTCTGTCACGGTGTGTGTCCCCCGCCTCCTCTCTGCCTCTCCTGTTGACCGCACGCTCCTCCCTGTCCCCTCGTCCACCCGGCAGCCTTCACACGTCTCTGACTAACTTTCTTGGCCTCTCTCTCCCTCTGTCTCCTTTCTCCCATCTGCTCCCCACAGGGCTGCCCTGGGCTGGTGATGCGCCCCTCGGCCTCTCCCTCTGCCTCTCTCTGTGCCTCTCACCTCTGTCTCTCTGTCCTGTGACCTCCGACAGCTTCAGTGGCGCTGACCATCTTTCCCAGGCTGCTTGGCAGCTGTGCCGACGCTGTGGCGTGGCCAAATAACTCTGATGTTCTCATACCTTCAGCAGTCAATCTCGCACTCTCCCCGCTCTCCCGCTCTGTTTCTAACCTGACTTTACCTCTCCAGCTGTTTCAGGCTCCTTTCCTTCCCCCTGCCTGCCTGTGTGAACACGTGTCCTCTGTGTGTGTGTGTGTGTGTGTGTGTGTCCATATGTCCATGTGTGCCATGGCCCTTGGGGAGGAGTACGCACCTGTCGCTGGGTGGAGTGGGTGTTTCTATGTTGTAGAGGCAGAGCCAGGTTTTCACAGCAGGTGTGTCGTGCTTCTGATAATCAAGATGTTGGGCCCTGAAATCACTCCCTGCCTTTTCCATTTCAGTTTGTCCCCGTTCACGTGCACACGTGGCATGCCTAGGTCTCCCCAGTGTGCCTCCTCTTGGCATCCCTTCGTGCTCATCGCTGTATGTGTGTCGTCACTGCTGCTCTGCTTGGCCTGCCCAGGCCCCGTGCCGCCCTCTCCTTGCTCCTTTGGGTGTCTGTAGGGCTTGTGTGCATGTGTGTGTGTACATGTGCACACCTGTGTGTGTGTGTGTGCGCACACGTGTGTGTGTGCACACCCTGCTTTTGGATCCTCATGTCTCCCCTCAGGGCCTGGCATATTCTAAGCATGTCTGTCTGTCTGTCTGCCTGTCATGGCCGTCTGTGTGCTGGAGGCTGGTCTCTACCAGAGTGCCTTAGCTCATGTCCACCCTCAGCGTGTGGCTCCCAGTTTGTGTCTGTGTGCTCTCAAAGCTGTTCTGTTTTAGCCTGTCCTGAGCCTCATGCTACTGATCCCCCGTCTCCTTCCTGCCTACCCCCACCTCTCTTCCTCCTCATGGGACATTCCAGCCTGGTCCCTGGGCAGGCTTTTAGTCCCCCCTTCCTGAGCCCCGGCTAAACGGAGCCTGGGCTCACCACCCAGCCACTGGGTCAGAGAGCCCAGCATCCTGGGAACAGCATGGAGTTGGGTGCAGACAGGGCTTCTCAGTGGTGCCCGTCTTTCTGTGACCCTGGGTGACAGCCTTATCAAATGCACAGTCTTCAGCAAGTAGGAGAAGGATGGGAACTGGGGAGCAGGGGTGTGGGCTCACCCTATCCAACAGGGGACTGTTAAACCTAAATGAGCTTACATTCGACAAAATTAAAATTTCAGCTCTCAGCCACACTGGCCACATTGCAAATGCTCAGATGCACACGTGTGGCATGTGGCTGCTCCACTGGACAGCACAAATACAGAACACTCTGTCACTATGGAAAGTTATCCTGGCCTCACCTGGTCAGTCTCGTGTCTGGAGGGTGGAAAGAGGATTCTTGATGAGCCCAAGCAAACACAGGTGGGGCGTCTGGGAGACAGACATTCTGGGCATGTTTGCAGAGGGTAATGACGCGGAGAGGCACCTGGACACACCACGCCATGGTGGAGCCTCCCCCTTCCAGTCTGGGGGTGGGTGGAATAGCACCAGCCTCTGGGGAGTGGGGGCGATGGACAGCTCAGAGACCAACTATGCAAGCCAATGACTGGAGGGTGGGGGTTTTCTGGGGAAAAGGAAGAACGGGCATGCCCCCAAAAATATCCCCTATATGAGTAGTTAAGCCACAGTCACCTGGGGCAGAGGTTGCAAGGAGAATGGGTCCTGGGCATGGGTCTCCAGGGAAAACCAGGTGTCCACGTGGACAGGAGTACTGACAGCTGCTGGGGTCTACAGAGAAGGTCCTGCCACCCCCCAGGCCGGGGTGCCCAACCCAGCTCACTCCCTAGCCCAATCTCATTCGGACTCCCCTGCCCCCAGGTTGCCTGCAGGAGGGAAGGCAGTGAACACAGCCCCGGTGCCAGGCCAGACACCCCATGATGAGTCCGACCGCCGGACCGAGCCACACTCCTCCGTCTCAGACCTCGTCAACTCCCTCACCAGCGAGATGCTCATGGTGAGAATGGGGGAGCCTGGGCTGGGAGGCCGGGGCAGGGAGAAGAGGGATGTGTGTGGGAACTGGCAACGGCATGGGAGTGGTCCAGGGAGGGAAAGCGGGTCAGAAGCAGCCTGGAGAGCCAGGCCCGTTACCACTGGGCGCTTGATGACTGAGTGTGCAAGGCTTGGGCTTGTTGCCAGCTCTTTCACCAAAGCATCTTCTCCATGTCTCCATTTCTTCCTTTGACAAGTGAAAATAAGAATTCCAATCCTGCTTTGGTCCCTTTGTGGATTGAGAAGGGGCCAAAGCAAACCCACTCATGCAAGACATTTTCAGGATTCTAGAAGGAAAAGCTGGTGGGCAGAGGACTCAGAGGAGAGGGTGTCCCCTCCCAGGAATGGTGTCCCCTTAAGTGGAGGTCTGGGGTGGAAGGCCTAGCCCAACGACCTCCCCCATTCCCATGGCTGGAGGCCCCTGAGAGCAGGACAGCAGGAATCCACTGGTCCTGGCTCCTCTGAGGGGACAGCTGTGGTGGGGTGCTCCTGTCCACACCCCATCCAAGGCCTCTAACCCAATGGGATCCTAGTTCTAGGTTGTTTGGCCCAAGCAGAGATTGTGGTTTCCCATGGCACCTCCAGGGGGCAGCAGTGAGTCACAGCCGCGTGCCCCGACCGCGCTTTCCAAAGAGCCCCTGGAGGGAGAAAATGGGAGATTGGCAGGCAGGAATCACTTAAAGGCTCAGCAGCTCAGAAGTCCCAGGAAGGCTTGAAGAGGTGATGAGGTTGGGAACCAGCACCTACTCTGTTCCTACTGGTCTTGACCTGGGACATTTCATCTCCTCGCATTGAACCCCTCCCTCCTGTAGAGAGAAGGAAGTAGGAAGTAGGCTTGGGAACTCCCAGCCCCTCACCCACTGCCCTGGCACCAGAGCCTTACCCTTCTGCCACGTAGGATTCCAGCCAGCTCTAACCATCCATCCCCACTGCCCCTTCTAGCCTGGTGTTTCTCAAATTGCTATGTACACAGGCATCCCCCAGGAACCTTATTAAAATGCAGATCGCTGGTCGTTAGGTAGGGCCTAAGAGCCTGCTTTTTTTTTTTTTTTTTTTTTTTTTTTGAGACAGTCTCACTCTGTCCCCCAGGCTAGAGTGCAGTGGCACGATCTCAACTCACTGCAACCTCCACCTCCTGAGCTCAAGTGATTCTCCTGCCTCAGCCTCTCTAGTAGCTGCGATTACAGTAGTGCCCACCATGCTCAGCTAATTTTTGTATTTTTAGTAGAGTCAGGGTTTCACCATGTTGGCCAGGCTGATCTCAAACTCCTAGCCTCAAGTGATCTGCCTGCCTCGGCCTCCCAAAGTGCTGTGATTACAGTCATGAGCCACCGCGCCCGGCCTATCCTGTGCTTTCCTTGGATCCACATTAGACCATCAGATTTTCCACATCCAGATCGGGTCGCCTTGGGCCTCCGCACCTCTCCCCTTCTTCCTACCCCCCAGGCCCCTGTGTGTCTGGCCCTCCGCTGCTCTGCTTCCATCTTCCCCCACCCAGGCAGACTGGCCCCAGCTGTCCTCCCCTCTGGATGGGCCATTGCCACAGGCCACCCTGCCTCCCTGCACAGCCCCTTAATTCATTACACCTTCCTGGTAGCCAGGTTCCCAGAAGGGATGGCCTCTTCCCAGACAGCTTGCCTGCCCCCTTGGTGCCCCCAGGGAGGGGCCGACAGCTGCAGCCAGCGGAAGGAAGCACAGGCCTCATCTCCCTCTCCTGTGCTGGGAGGATGCTCAGAGGTGGGAAGGCAGAGTCTAATTGCACAGCTCTGTGCCAATGCTAGGTCATTGACATTAACAGGCATGATAAGATAAGCAGGGCAGAATCAGCTCACTGTGACCTCAGCCTGTCCTGGTCTCCGGACCCTGGGCGGTGGAAGCTGGGGGTCAAAAGACAAGAGTGGGCTGGGCACAGTGGCTCACGCCTGTAATCCCAGCACTTTGGAAGGCCAAGGTGGGTGGGATCATCTGAGGTCGGAAGTTCGAGACAAGCCTGGCCAACATGGAGAAACCCCATCTCTACTAAAAATACAAAATTAGCTGACCATGCTGGCGCATGCCTGTAATCCCAGCTACTTGGGAGACTGAGGCAGGAGAATCACTTGAGCCCGGGAGGCAGAGGCTGCAGGGAGCCGCGATCGTGCCACTGCACTCCAGCCTGGGCAACAAGAACAAAACTCCATCTCAAAAAAAAGAGGGAGAGACAAGAGTGGAGCACCCAGAGCTGGCCAGAGAAGGGACTGAGGGGCAGAGGTGTCCGAGAAGCGGCCAGGCCACACCTGCCTCTGAGCATCTCCTGCCCTGGCACAGGGATAGCCTGCTGCTTTTTGAGGCTGACTTTTTCTGGCACAGGGGCTCGGGTAGCACCTTCCCTGACTCTGATGGCGTGGCCAACCTGGTTGCCATAGAGATGGCTCTGTCCCAGCTTAGTAATTAGGGCTCAGGGCTATGGCTTGGGAAGGCTGGGAGTGGGCACAGAGCCACCATCCCTTTCGCAGGTGAAACCCGCCTGGCCAGCCCAGGCCTTCCCAAGTCCACACTGTTTGGAAGCCAAGAGCCGAGGGACCGGAGGGACCTCAGGTGGGGCTGGGGCCAGTTGGGCTGCAGTCACCAGCAACTCCCCCTCAACTTGAGAAGCATGGGGGGGGGGGCGAATGATCTTTGCTGGCACTCTCCACTCATGTGCCCCAGTTACTCGGTCCCTCTGCCAGTGGGTCAGGTCACGGAGCAGAACTCTAGAAGGGACATGGACCCGCTTAGCTCTCCCAGGACCCCACAAAGTAGGTTTCACGGTCCCCACTCTACAGATGTAAACACAGGGTCAAAGGGTATGGTGCTGGCATGAGTGGGGGAAAGATCATCAGAGAGGCCGGGCAGGGTGGCTCGTGCCTGTAATCCCAGCACTTTGGAAGGCCGAGGCAGGCAGATCATGAAGTCAGAAGTTCAAGACCAGCCTGGCCAGCATAGTGAAACCCCATCTCTACTAAAAATACAAAAACTAGCTGGGTGTGGTAGCAGGTGCCTGTAGTCCCAGCTACTTGGGAGGCTGAGGTGGGAGAATAGCTTGAACCCAGGAGGTGGAGGTTGCAGAGAGCTGAGATCATGCCACTGCACTCCTGCCTGGGCAACACAGCGAGACTCTGTCTCAAAAAAAAAAAAAAAAAAAAAAAAAAGACCATCAGGGAAAAGCAGGTTCTGGGGGGGTAAGCCACATTCTCGGTGGGGCTGCGGTGGGGCTTGTGGGGTTATCTGGATCAGCCAAGGGGTGAGGGCTGGAGGGACCATCTTCTGCTGTAAGGCAGCTCAGCACCCCTGCCCCCATCCAGGCAGGACCAAGGTAAAGCCCCAGACTCTAGATCTGAGTGCAAGAGCAAGCCGCAGGTAGAAGGGCACTCAGGATTCCTGGGTGCTAAACTGGGTTCCGTTCCCACTGGGCATTCAATCTCGGGAAAGTGTTCCACCTGTGTTCCAAGTATTCCAGTGGGAGTGCAGTGCCTGCCTCTTTGGGATGCTGTAAGAGGTCAGTGAGGACAAGGCACAGGGCACAGGGCAGGGTTTGGCGAGGTGGGCGGCCAGTCCATGGTGGTGACTATTATGAGTGTGAGGCCGGGTACGTGGCTCACACCTGTAGTCCCAGCACTTTGGGAGGCCGAGGTGCGGATAACTTGTGGCCAAGAGTTTAAGACCACCCTGGCCAACATGGCGAAAACCTGTCCCTACTGAAGGTACAAAAATTAGCCGGGCGTAGTGGCGCAAGCCTGTGGTCCCAGCTACTGAGGAGGCTGAGGCACAAAAATCACTTGACCTTCGGAGGTGGAGGTTGCAGTGCGCCAGGATTGCACCACTGCACTCCAGCCTTGGCGACAGAGTGAGACCCTATCTCAAAAAAAACAAAAACAAAAAACTATTATGAGTGGCATCTGACGCTTTTCACCTGGCATGGCAAGTCCGCGGATCTTTGCTGGCTTGAGGGGGACACCTCAGTGCTGCCCTGGGGTGTGGGCCTGCTTTAGTGGAAAGAGCAGGATTTCGAATCAGAGAGGGTTCATCCTGCTGTGCAGTCTTGGCCATGTGACTTAACCTCTCTGAGCCAGTCTTCTCAGCTAGAGGGTGGTGACACCTGCCTCACCTGGCTTTTGTCAGGATTCAGTAAGGAGGCGACGATGTGAGAGTTTCCGGCTGTGGTAGGAGCGCACTGTGTGCGTTGTTATTATCTATCTTATTTAGTCATTCAGAGCCTAGGGCTGCCCCTCCGGGGTGAAGGAGAGAGCACAAAGCAGGTTTCTGCAGGAGAGGCAGGGAGAGAACGGGTGCCTGCAGTTTGTCTTAACTGTGTACCCAGAGTCCTTCTCCATCCCTCATCCACCCATCATGGGAGATTTTCGAGACAGGGGTGCCTTAGCCATGTGGTCCCCTAACTGGGTCTGTTGTGGTCAGTGGCCTGGGGCTGCTGTCAGGCAGCTGGAGGGTGGGCAGGGCTCTAAACCCTGGCAGGTACTTCCAGTGTGCCCACAGTTTCACACACGTGGCCAGGAGGTCCACCTCCGAGCTGCTTCTTGTGGTTCCATGTCAGGATGCAGTGAGATGCCCACCCTGCCTCTGTGTGACTGTCCATTGCTGGGTCAGCCCAAGCACCCTCGCTCCCAGCAGCCCTCAGCCCTGATGGGTGGTACAGTCATCTGAGGTCTGAGGTGCCTTTTTTTGAGACGGAGTCTTGCACCACCACCCGGGCTGGAGTGCAATGGCAGGATCTCAGCTCACTGCAACCTCCACCCCCCAGGTTCACTTGATTCTCCTGCCTCAGCCTCCCAAGTAGCTGGGATTATAGGCACACACCACTACACCTGGCTAATTTTGTGTATTTTTAGTAGAGATGGGGTTTCACTATGTTGGCCAGACTGGTCTCCAACTCCTGACCTTGTAATCCTCCCGCCTTGGCCTCCCAAAGTGCTGGGATTATAGGCGTGAGCCACTGCGCCCGGCCTGAGGCACCTTTTACACAGCACTGATGCCCAGGCCCACACCAGCTCCATCTGGTCAGACTGGCTGGGGATGGGGCCTGGGGAGTCTGCGCTTTTCACGTCCCTAGTGATTGATTCTGCCTTACACGAACAGACATTGCTCCTGAAAACTTGCCTCTCTCATTTTGTAAATCACATCATTCTCCACACCCCAGAGAGTCACTTTCCAAAGAATTATTGTGGTAAACTCTCTTGCAATATGAGCAGCCTCCCCATCTGCTGTGTAGCCCAGGTTTGTGTCAGTGCATCCACAGAGGCCCCTCCCATGCCATGGGAGGGCAGGGAGGTCAGGGGGGCTCAGAAACCCCAGCGCATGCCAGGCCAGCTGGGGCCAGGGAGGCGAGGCCGCTGAGCTGGAGCTTGGGGCAGGCGGCAGGCCCAGAGCTGCGAGGAGAGCCTGGGAAATAGGTGTCATGCATATGGCTCCGAGGCTCGGGAGACAGGGCTGTCTCAGCTCTACCCTCCCCGCTTCCCTCCCCTCCTGGGAGACCCTGGTCAAGGCACCTGCCCTCTGAGCCTCAGCAGCGTCGGTGGACGTGAGTGTGGGACTGGCCACCTCCTCTGGCCTCTTGCCCGTGCTGGGCAGCAGTGGGGACATAGGGGAAGTAGAGTCCTCCCCAACCCTGTGGCCTCTCCCCTACCCTCAGCTCTCCCCAGGCTCCGAGGAGGACGAGGCCCACGAGGGCTGCAGCCGAGAGAACCTGGGCCGGATCCAGTTCAGCGTCGGCTACAACTTCCAGGAGTCCACGCTCACCGTGAAGATCATGAAGGCCCAGGAGCTGCCGGCCAAGGACTTCAGCGGCACCAGCGACCCCTTTGTCAAGATCTACCTGCTGCCCGACAAGAAACACAAGCTGGAGACCAAGGTGAAGCGGAAGAACCTAAACCCCCACTGGAATGAGACTTTCCTCTTCGAAGGTGAGGCTAGTGCCGCCCTCCTCCCGCCATGGTCACCTCTTGCCTTCCGCCATCCCCCTGCCCAACCACACATGTGGTCATGCACAGATGCATACGTGTACACACACCTGCAGCCCCACAAGTGCACAGACACACACAAGAGCAGATACAATTCCGCGCACACCTGCTTGCATGCACAGGCGCAAATCCACACACACATGCGCTCCCACACAGGCAATGTCTTTGCCCGGTTAACCTGATGCATTTTGTGTCTAGTTGGGATCAGGTCACAGGAGCCGAGTGGAGCCAGCATCAGCCAGAGGCCGAGGAGGGAAGCCAGGCCGCTGCCTGGCGTTTCAGCCCAGACACAGAGCTGATCCTGAGGAGGGCAGGAAGGGAGGGAGGGAGGCACCCGTAGGACTCAGAGCTGGAGCACCCTGAAGCCACCAGAGTGTAGTGGTTCAGTGCACAGGGTGTGGCCCACGTTGCCTGGGTTCGATTCCCAACCCTTGACCTTGGGCAAGTTTCTGAGCCAAGCTTACTGGCTGCATGACCTTGGGCGAGTTCCTGAGCCTCCCTATGACTTGGTTTCCTCATCTACAGAACAGAGATGATAATAGTGAGGGTTGGACAAATGAGTGAGTTGTAGAGGCAGCTCAGAACAGTGCCTGACACCCAGCAAACGTTTGACACCAGGTTGTTAAACACACTCCATCTGCTGCCGTTCTGACCCCCTCCCCCGCATGGGACAGGAACAACAGCTCTGAACCATGCCTGGAGGCCGCTGAGAAAAATGTCCTTTCTCTTTCCTGCAAGCCCTCTCTGAAGGCCGGTCTTTATCTCTTATCTCTGAGGATTCAAGGTAACCAGGAAGCTGGACGTGTGATTAAGGAGTGATTTCTATCCCAGGGCCTTTGGGTGCTAGGACCCCGCTTAGAGAAGCCGTAACCCTTTGCCAATGGCCCCCGGTTCAACCAGGGAGAGTAAATCCCTACTCCAGCTGCCCTGAGCCCTAGCCTTCCAGAACCTTCACCGTGTACCCCAGGGATCTTTCCTTATCTGCTGTCCCAGCCACTTAGCATCCCACCTCTTCTGCAAGATGACAGCCAGGTCACCCACCAACTGGCACTGACGCTGAGCAGTGAATGCTCATGTGTCTCTGGAGCCCCTCCTTTGCAGGCACCGTGAGGGCAGAGATGGCTCAACAGTGAGGGTTTCGGCTGTCTGGAGGTCTGTGTAGCCAGCTGGCAGAGCAAGGTTTTTGAGCGGAACTCTGATCCCCCAGTGTCGTCCACAAGCCAGTACCCAGCAACAACCATGAGCTGGGCACTCTTCTAGATACTGGGGGTGTAGAAAAGAATGAACACCATTATGGCCCTCAAGACATTTCTGATCTAATAGAGACACAGATGTGTAGATAACTCAGTCACACACAGCATGACAGGAGCTGCAGGAAACCAGTATGAGCTCCCTTTGGTGGTGCTGAAGAAAATTTCTCAGAAGAGGGACCATTCTGATGGATGAGTAGGGGTTTGGCAGCTAGGAGCTTGCCTCTTCTGGTGTTGATGAGAGCTGACGGGTTCAGGGACCTCTTGGAGCTCCCAACATTCCCAGAACACTTGTCCTCATGCATTTTACCTGAATCGATACCAAGGGTCTCCTGGGCTAGGTCCCTGGGGGACTCTGAAATAAGCAAGACATAGCTTCCCTCAATATGAGGAAAGGGACCCTGAACAAATTCAGAGGCTCTCCTCTTCCAGCTCACCTGCTCCTGTCAGAGCTCCTCAGTGCTTCCAGAATCTCTGGGGAAGGTGCTGGAATCCTCTGGTGTCTAGCTGGGATCAGGTCACAGGAGCTGAGCTGGTGCACATCTGCACCAGCCAGGCTGAGGTTCCAGGCATCCTCCTTCCCGTTCACACCCGGGTTCAGAATCTCCTCACCTCAGGCTTCTGGGCTGGCCTGTGCCCTGCACCTCCCGGGCCAGCCCCACCTCTGACTCAGCCTCCCAAGAGCTCGTGACCCCTGGCTTCAGACCTGCCCCTGGCCCCCTCTTCCCTCCTCCATCCCATCCAAGCCCCTTCTGCTCCTCTCGCTCTGACCTTAGCTCCCACCTCACCTCAGCACAGTGCTGCTGCTCCATCAGGCCATTCCATTGGCATTTATTCATCTGTTCAATTATGCATTCACTTAACAATATGTATCGAGTGCCTACTATGTGCCAGAAATGGTGTTAGACATGGAGATCCAGTGGTTGGTAACAGAGATGCCTTCCTGGGAATCCTAGCCTTCTGGGAGAGCCAGACAAAAATCAGGGAAAGAGAAAGAAAAATGTTACCGCGTGTGACATGTTTTGCGGAAAAGGTGCTCGAGTGGATAACCGGACACTGTCTGGGATGTCAGGAAAGAATGCTGAGACCAGAAGGATGAGAGTTTCCAGGAGGGGGTCGTGGTGGGGCCAGCATGCGCCCGGCCCCAGGGCAGGAGGGGTCGGGATGTGGAAGGGCCAGGAAGGAGGCTGATGTGGCTGGAGCCCAGTCATTGAGTGAAGAGCGGTCACAAGCCGAGCAGGGAGAGAACAGCCGGGCCAAATTGTGGAAGGACTTGAAGCCAAGGTAGGGTGCCCGGCTTTTATTCTAAGTGCACTGGGAACCATTGAAAGGCTTTAAGCAGGAGTGCATCGTGATGGAATTTCTATTTTTAAAAGATCTCTCTGGCAGCCGCGTTGAGAATGGACCATAGGAGAAAGCGTGGACGCGGGGAGGGCGGTTTGGAGACGCTTGGGGCTGTCTAGGCAAGAGGTGCCAGCGCCTTGGACAAGGGAGGTGGCAGTAGAGAAGGGGACGCTGCGGGAGGAAGAACAGAAGCACAGGCAGGAGGAGAGGGGTGCAGAGTCACAGGACACTTGTCACCTCCTGCTTCTGTGCCTTTGCCTTTTCCCTCCCACCGGCGCCCCCCGCATGCCCCTCTGCCCTGAGTCCTCCCAGGGCCTGAGTCCTGGCAGCTGTGGCCACCTAGGCAGAGCCAGTTGCCCAGACCTGCCTCGGGATGATTGGCAGCAGCTGCCCATCCACTGAGATGGACACAAGGTGCATGGGTGAATGGATGACCGCAGTTCTACTCTTTACTAGCTGGGACTCTGGGCAAGTAATTTAAGCCATCTGAGCCTCATCTGTAAGATGGACAAGATGCCATTGACCTTGGAGAATTGTTGAGGGAGTCCCATGAGACGGTGACAGTTCTTGTCAGCACTTCAGTAAGGTCTAATTGCAATCTGGTGTGCCTGCTGGCCCAGTGGGTTGGCAGCGGGAGGGCACAGGGCCTGCCTCCTCTTCCCAGGGCCTTCCTTGCCTCCTGGACCCCGTGTGGCCCCTCTGTCCCCCTCTTCACTGGCACTCCTCTGTACCCCCAGGTTTTCCCTATGAGAAGGTGGTGCAGAGGATCCTCTACCTCCAAGTCCTGGACTATGACCGCTTCAGCCGCAACGACCCCATCGGGGAGGTGTCCATCCCCCTTAACAAGGTGGACCTGACCCAGATGCAGACCTTCTGGAAGGATCTGAAGCCATGCAGCGATGGGAGTGTAAGGCCCCATGGGTGGGCCTTACCTGGACAGGCAGCAGGGCAGGGCTGGCAATCTGCTCCCAGATCCTCGTCAACCTTAGGAGGGCTGTGGGAGAGGGGGCAGGTGGGCGGTTCTGATGGAGCACAGTCCTTGTCAGCAGCTGGAGCACTGGTGCTTGGCGCCTGAGGGACTCACCTGATCTGTAAGAAGGAACCTAGGACTCTGTTCAGGGAACAGAGAGGGGATGGTGGCCCTGGGAGGGGCAGTCCACACACCTGCCAGAGGAGGGGAGACAGAGTGGGACAGAGATGACAGATAGGGGCATGGGTAAGCAACAAGGTCAGGGTAGAGGAGGCCTGGGGGCCGCTGGTCCAATCAGAGAGCAATGCTAGACGTTCCCACACCCTCCCGTTGTGCCTCCCAGGGGAGCCGAGGGGAGCTGCTCTTGTCTCTCTGCTACAACCCCTCTGCCAACTCCATCATCGTGAACATCATCAAAGCCCGGAACCTCAAAGCCATGGACATCGGGGGCACATCAGGTGTGGGGCTGCTCGAGCAGAGGACGGACGGGCAGGCGGGGAGGCTCTGGTGACATGAGGGTTACACTGCAGATGGAGATCAGGGTCCGCAGTGGTCCTCACCCCCACCCCCCACCCCCCAACCTCCAGTCCTCTCTCCTTACCCTAGAGACCTTGGGGGCCCCCTTTGGAGCACCCTCATCTTGGATCCTAGGTCAGGATCAGCATCATCTTGGACTCCATTCTTCAGGAAGAAAGGGAACACCATGGGAAGACCTGGGTTCCCGCCCCAGCTCTGATGCTACTTGTCTGAGATTCTGGGCAAGACCTGGCCTCTCTGGGGCTCGGTTTCCTCATGGGTAGTAACAGGAGGGCCCCAGGTGATCTCTAAGGTCCATCTGCTGATTCTCCCAGGTCCCTCTCATTCTGGCCTGGGTCTCTCCTTGCCTCTGGGGAAAACACCCGGCCCTCCTGCCTCAGCTTCCATACCTGGAAGGGGAAAGGGATCCTAGGAAGTCCCTCCCCCACTGTCCCTCTAACCCTTCCCCACTCCCTTCCCCAGACCCCTATGTGAAGGTGTGGCTGATGTACAAGGACAAGCGGGTGGAGAAGAAGAAGACAGTGACGATGAAGAGGAACCTGAACCCCATCTTCAACGAGTCCTTCGCCTTCGATATCCCCACGGAGAAGCTGAGGGAGACGACCATCATCATCACCGTCATGGACAAGGACAAGCTCAGCCGCAATGATGTCATCGGCAAGGTAGGGGCGAAGCAGGTGGTGTGGCACACGCAGCTGGCTCCATTCCTTAAAAGAAGCAGCAGGGGTGGTGGATGAGCACGGGCTGGACACCAGGAGAGATGGGGATCGGTCTCCTCCCCTCTTGGGCCTCTGTGTCTTCATCCAAAATTAAGGGAATTAGACGACACCCTCCCTGGGGTTCTTCTCTAAGCGTCTTCCTATGGGTAAGTCAGCTGAGGACAGACCACCGGCAGGGCAGGGGAAGAAGGAGTGGGAGAGAGGAATGGCCTGGATCTCAAAAGAAAGGTTTTCTGGACAGGCTGATGATGTTGGAACAGTATAGCCCAGGGTCCCATCTGCACAGGGTGAGCTGGGTGGGGCGGTGTTGGGAGCTGCAGTCAGACTCCAAAGACTTACTTTCAGTTCCCACCCCATCTGCCAAGAAGCAACCATGTAACCTCGGGCAGGTGGCTTGGCCTCTCCAAGCTTTAGTGTTCTCATCTGTAAAATGGAGCTGCTTACACTGTCCCTGTGGAAGTGTACAGGTGGTGTAAGAATTGCTTGAGGCAGGCGGATGTCTGCTGTTAGAAAGCTGGCCAGGCACAGGGGCTCACGCCTGTAATCCCAGCACTTTGGGAGGCTGAGGCAGGCGGATCACGAGGTCAGGAGTTTGAGACCAGCCTGGCCAACATGGTGAAACCCCATCTCTACTAAAAATAGAAAAATTAACCAGGCATGGTGGTGGGCGTCTGTCATCCCAGCTACTGGGGAGGCTGTGGCAGGAGAATCCCTTGAACCCAGGAGCCAGAGGTTGCCATGAGCCAGGATTGTGAGACTGTACTCCAGCCTGGACAACAGAGTGAGACTCTGCCTTAAAAAAAAAAAAAAAAGTAATCTCTTTGTATCACATAACCAAAAAATTCATACCTGACCTTGATTTTTCCCAGGATGGGATTCTGTGACATAAACCCTTCCATGTTTCCTGTGTCTATTTATGGTTTAGTGTTGAGAGCGTGGGCCTGGGAGTCAGATCGCCTGGGTCCAAATCCTAGCCATACTTTTTACCGCCGTAACCTCTCTGAGCCTCATTTTCTCCTCTCAGAATGAGAATAGGACGATCCTCCCCTCACAATGTGCTGGGAGGATTAAGTCAGATCACACAGGTGAGCTGTTCTGCATAGTACTTGAAACACACGTTAGCTAGTATTATAATAAAGGGGCATATATGTCAATTCAGGCATGGCGGTTTGACCAGGGGCAGATGAGGAACCAGTGCCCAGGGCAGTCATAGGGGAAGGGGAGATTCCAGGAGTGAGTGAGGGGCATACACCTGGGCATTACCCTGTGTCAGGGAAAGGGAAAGGGGAACTGGATGCCCACAGGGAAGGGAGCTGAGTTGGGGGCAGCCCTCAGATAGATGGGACTGGAGAACTCAGTGGCTGGGGGTGAGGGAGGCAGCCTGGCCTCAAAGAGAAGAGCTGACCCTGCCTGCTGTCAGGTACGGCATGGGGAGTATGACTGGCCAATCTGTGGTCACAGGTGAGACAACTCCCCAGGACATTGCCACTTATACTCCAGAAAGAGAATGTGACCCTGCCTGGCCAGGGCTTGGGGCCTGCCGAGCCCCCCTTGACCAACTCAGGCCAAAGGCCAAGTAAGCATTTCTACTTTGATGTTCTTTTGAAGCTTAGCCTTTTGGAGTTGGGTGTTCCTTAGATACCCATTAGAGCTCCTTTTGAAACAGTCCTCCCTTCTGTTGGCTGAACCAAAGCAAACGTGGATTTGTTCTCACGTGGGCCTGGGTAATTTAGGGAGCCCACGGATCTCTGAATCCTTCTGACTCCTAGCTCCTGCTCGGCCCCTGGAAGCCAAGAGTCTCTGCCCCTCCTGTCTGCCTGGCATCGCCCAAGGCTGTAGGTCTCATGCTGCGCTGAGGTTGCAATGGGGGCAGTCCCAGAGCAGGACAGGCCCAGAGCGGCCCTAGAGCTCCATGACCCCTGCATAGCCACCCTGCTCCAGAAGGATGGAGCCGCTGGCTGAGAGAACTCACGCCACACAGGGACATGCCACCGTGCCCAGCTGAGCACAGGACATGCACCATCCCTACTGTCTGTGAGACAGGCACAGTCATCAGCCCATTTTACAGAGGAAGGTCTGGGGCTGAAAGAAGTCACTCCACCATATGTTGCAGAGCTGGCGCTTGCTCCCCAACCTTTTTTTTTTTTTTTTTTTTTGAGATAGAGTCTCACTCTGTCACCCAGGCTGGAGTGCAGTGGCACAATCTCAGTTCACTGCAACTTCTGCCTCCTAGCTTCAAGCGATTCTCCTCCCTCAGCCTCCTGAGCAGCTGGGATTACAGGTATCTGCCACCATGCTGGGATGTTTTTTGTATTTTTAGTAGAGATGGGGTTTCACCATTTTGGCCAGACTGGTCTCGAACTCCTGACCTCAAGCAATCTGCCCGTGTCAGCTTCCCAAAGTGCTGGGATTACAGGCGTGAGCCCCTATCCCTGACCTCCTCCCCAGAGTCTCACTGTGGTCCAGGCTGGAGTGCAGTGGCCCAATTACGACTCACTGCAGCCTCGGCCTCCCCAGGCTCACGTGATCCTCCCCCCTCAGTCCCGCAAGTAGTTGGAACTCCAGACATTCACTACCACGCCCAGCTAAATTTTTTCATATTTTTTATAGAGATGGGGCTTCACCATATTACCCAGGCTGGTCTCAAACTCCTGGGCTCAAGTGATTCTCCCACTTTGGCTCCCTAAAGTGCTCTGATTACAGGCATCAGCCACTGTGCTCACCCACTGGGGCCACCACCATCCTTTTTTTAAAAAAAGAAAAAATTTTCATTTTGGAATAATTTTAGATTTACGGAAAAGTGGCAAAGATAGTAGAGTTCCCATCTACACCTTACCCAGCCTCCCCAGTTGTGAGCGTCTCACATTACAATGGGACATTTGTCACAGCTTGAGAAACCAGCGCCACGCGTGCATTGCTGGGAACAATACCACAGCCATTATTTGTATTTCACCAGGCTTTCGGCCCCCCTCTGTCGCAGCATCCAATCCAGGACGCGGCATTGCGTTGCATTGTCATGTTGACCCCTCCCCTCTGGCATGACCATTTCTCCATCTTTCCTCTGTGATCTTAACAGTCTTAAGGAATACTGGCCAGGTGTCCTATACAAGGCCCCCAAATCCATGTACCTGTTTTTTCTCCAATGCTTATACTCTTAATCGCCCCCAAGTCCCAAAGCTGAGGTCAGCTGGGCGGATCCTGGGGTTCCTGGGGATTCACGCATGCAGCCTTGAGAGACTGCGAAGCCCCTGCCAGAGGCTCAGTGGGATTGGACCGGTAGTGCAGCACTCCAGAGACCTCAATTTCAGTCGCTCTATACCACTTACAAACTCTGGGACTGGCCAGGCGCGGTGGCTCACGCCTGTAATCTCAGCACTTTAGGAGGTCAAGGTAGGCGAATCACCTGAGGTCAGAAGTTTGAGGCCTGGCCAACATGGTGAAAACCCATCTCTACTAAAAACACAAAAATTAATCGGGCATGGTGGTGTACGCCTGTAATCCCAGCTACTCAGGAGGCTGAGGCAGGAGAATCACTTGAAATCAGCAGGTGGAGGTTGCAGTGAGCCAAGATCACACCATTGCACTTCAGCCTGGGTGACAGAGCAAGACTCCATCAATCAATCAATCAATAAACAAACAAACAAACTCTGGGACTGTGGGTCTCTTAATGCTTTGCACCTTAGTTTCCCCATCTGAAAAACAGAGTTAATCATAAAATCCTACCTCAAAGTTGTAGGATTTGATGATCCATGTGTCTGAAGTCCCTGGCTCAGTACTCACAGTGGCAAGTGCCCAGGAGTTGGGAGCGATTATAATTAAAGCGGGCTGGACAGCACCCAGCAGATAGGGCAGGGAAGGCCATGGAGACAGGCTGCGTCCAACCCCACCTTCCAGACTCCACTGCAAAATAGGTTGGCAGTCTAATTCTGAAGGGGGCAGACTACCAGGAAAACAGGTCAGGCTGGCAGAGGGAGGGAGGAGGGCGCCTCTGTGGGGTAGGTTGGCACAGCATGTGGAGGTCGGGGGGCCACAGGCTAGGGCATCATGGTGGAGTTGGTCTGTCACCCCTGTGGGGGAAAGGGCCAATGCCCTGGAGACTGTGCCAATGCCATTCCTCTCCCCTTTCTCCCCAGATCTACCTGTCCTGGAAGAGCGGGCCAGGGGAGGTGAAGCACTGGAAAGACATGATCGCCCGTCCCCGGCAGCCTGTGGCCCAGTGGCACCAGCTGAAGGCCTGAGTGGGGCCAAGGGAGGCCCAGGGGGCCAAAGGCCTAGGTCCCCATCATGCCCTCACCACTTTATGCACAATGCCCGGCCTGAGCCCCCTGCCATAGGGAGGGGAGGACCCTGAGGGCTCAGCCAGGAAGGGGTCCCAGACTCAACTGGGCTCCGTTTCTAAGAAGTATCAGCCCCGTCCCCCACAGTCCAGCTTGGGGGAAGGGACTCTGGGAGGCATTTTCCTGCTTTGCCCCTTTTCTTCCTGACTTGCTGATACTAAAGAAGTCGGGGGAGCTCGAGAGCCAGATGGCCAGACAGGCAGACCCCTCCAGAGGCCAGCCAGGTGGGCATGGTTCCCCGTTTTCTTTAAGGCAGTGCCTGGAGTGGAGAGAGGCTGTCCCCTCTCCAGCCCCCAACGTGGACCCAGGGGAGGGGAGGCTGAGGCATTTGGCCCTGGTCTGTCCAGGAGAGGCCCATCCCCAGGGCAGCTTCAGGTGCCAGCTGGGCCCTGAGTGCCAAGGATAGTGTAGAGCCCTCTCCTGGGTCCTGGAGCCATGGCCCTTTGTACTTGTGTTGTGTCCATTGTGTGTGTGCGTGGGGACAGAGGCCTGACAGTGCAGAAGACTAGGCAGAGAAGGCAGGTTTCATGAAGGCCAGGCAGGGCTGGAGGCAGGGGGCAGGAGAGGAGAGGCCCATAGGGCTGAGTGGGGTGGGGTGGGGCAGATGTTGGGAACAGAAGAGGGGCTGGAGCTGAGCTGAGAACTGGGCTGCCTCCTGACACCCCCTCTCCTCCCCTTCTTCCCTCAGTGCCCAACTCCGCTCAGAATCTCAATAGTTCCTCCTTCAGCAATTTCATCCCTTGAACACTGGCTCACACCTTTTAGGCACCTACTGTGTGCATAGCATCCCACTAGGGCTCACCTTCCTTCCTTCTCAAGGGGTCCCGAGCCCCCACTAGCTTTGCCCTAATTCCTTCATCCAAAGACCCCCGCCAGCTTCCCACACCTCACACGGCAGCCACATTGGCCCTGTTCTCCATGTTCTCCAGCTGCCCTGCCTTCCTCATGTCTCCCTGCCTGTGCAGACCTCTACCCCTCCATCCCCCAGTGCTTGTAGACCTTCCATTCATTCCCTCTCGTGAGTGGTCTCTGATCTTCCACCACCTGACCTTCTCCAGGACTCTCTTCTCACCCTTCCCTACTCCCTGGTGCCCGGGAGCAGCTCCTTCTGCCCAACTCACAGTGTGGGGAAAGGAGGCGGGGAAAACACTGGGATTCTGTGAGTTCTGAGATTGCCACACACAAAAAAGCCGTGGTTTCTCTGCCTCAGCCACTGATAAGACCAGAACTGGCTTCCCCTTGGAGACGGCAGATTTCAGGCTGATCCCTGCTTAAGCCCTCTCATCCCCACGCTGGTACTAGTATTGATACAAGACCCAGCTGGTGACAAAGCCTCCGATCCTGGGGGTCCACGAGCCTGAGCCTGACATTCCCAGAATCACCGCCAGGTGGCGCCAGGTCCCCACAGTCTGTGGCCGTGATCTTGGCCCACAGTTCCACCCTGGATGGGCCTGGGACATCCCAAGGAGACGAGGACTCTAGATAGGGTCCCCACATCCAGAGTGCGGGGAGACCATAGGCATTTGGGAACCATTTTCCTTCGATCGGCTTCCCCTTGAGCTGAGCATTCTGCTCGATGCAGTAGATGGGTGGCCTTTTGCCCATATCAAAATTTTCTTAAATTGAATCTCACACCCCCACCCCCATTCCCTCTCCCTGGGATCTGGAGGAGCATCATACATAGTAGGTGAATCGTTTTGTAGAGTGAAGAATGCCAATGTAAAGCAAATAGTCACCCACGTTCCTTGTAAATCCAAATGTTTCTATATTGTAGATTTGCTTAAAATGGAGTCGGCCCCAACTGCATTGTCCTCTTTGGCGGGCTGGGGACGGCCCCAGCTGGGACAGGAGGGCAAAGGCCACGTAGATATGGGAGAGGGTGTGGTGGGAAGTCTGCCTTTCTCCACCTCTCCCTTGGACCCCCTTCGGTTTCCTGTCCCCCCACCACCCACCTGCCCCTAGGAAGACCGCCGAGTGAGCGAGCCCCCACCTCCCAGGCCTCTTCGCCAGCCAGGGAGCCCCCCGCATCCAACCAACTTGCATCAAGTGGGCAGGGCAATGGCTGCCCCTTTTCCCGAGCCCCGCTCACAGAGCTCTTAGCCAATCCTATGCAGAGAGCATCTCCTGGTGAGGGTCTCTTCCCACTCAGACCCCACCCAGGCACATTGGTGACAAGGCTTCCCCAGCCCCCCATGTGCAGGTGGAGCTCTGGGATGCTGTGCTGGGGGGTGGCAAACGGAGGGCTGAGGGCCAGGTAGGCTAGCACAGGAGGCAAGGGTGGTATGGGACAGGGCAGGGGGTGGTCTAGGGAGATAGGAAAGCAGGGAATGGGGAACTTGAGGGTGGGAAGAGGGCACGGAGCCCTGCCACCATCCCAGGACTTTGGGCAAATTACCTGTACTCCCTGGGCCTCAGTTTCCCCATCTGTAAAATGATGGTAATAATACTTCACCTACCTCATAGGGGAGGTTGTGAGGCCGCCATCACCTGACGTGGGGGTCAAGGCAGGAGGACTCTGAAGGTGCTACCCCGGAGCAAAGCGATTTCTGAATCCTGATAGCAAGACCCGCCTGCCCCTCCCCCACAGAGCCTCCAGAGCTAGCTGAGGCCAACCCAGGCCCCGTCTCTTCACTGTGTCGCAGGCCCCTTTGTGGGCCTCATCTGCCATCTTCGTGGGCGCCCTAGACTTAGTCCTTACCTTGTTCTGGTTTCCTTTCTTGTGATCATCTCCCCACGTAACTGCTGTACAAATCCCACCTGCCCCGGGACCCCCACACCTGCCCTCCGGCACCAGATGCCAGGGAAGGTACAGAGGAAAACAGCCACAAACAAGCCAAGGGGCACTCCAACCACCGAGTGCCCCGGGGGTGGGAATCGGTGGCGCTGTTTGTATCGTGTTTGAGTCCTTGAGTGCAAGTGTTTTATAAAAAATAAAACAAAAACCCACCATCAAAAAAAAAAAAAATTTTAAAAAAAAAAAAAAAAAAAAAAAAAAACAAAAAAAAAAAAAAAAAAAAGGAAAAAAAAGAACCATACAAAATGTTTCCACCACACATGCCCTCTAAGCCAGCAAAATTTCCTCTTTGCAAAATCCTATTTTTGTGGGAATGGGCCCCGCTTTTTGTGGCGAGGCCTGTTCTGATTAATAAAGGATCATGGAACAGTAGGGCCTTGGCTGTTTCCTCCGTGGGTCCCAGCCCTCCCTCACCTCCCTGGGGGCAGAGGCAGCGGGGTGAAGGGGATGGGGGTCCCGGGGCTGAGCCTCCCCTCAGCGAGTCACCTTTGGGATTTACTTCACTGGTGACCAGGCCTGTCCTGAGCGTCCAGCCCATCCTCAGATCTCTTTGATCCCACCGACTGCCCAGAAAGCAGAGGCAGCTGCCTTTCCCAGATCAGTCCTGACACAAAGATTTGTGGGAGTGGAGTCTCCTCTAGACCTCGGGGGTGCCCTCCAGGGTCATCCAGCCTGGCGTCCCCTCCCTCAGTCCCCAGGGGACCCTCACCACCCTCCAAGGCAGCTCAGACAAACCCAAGGGGGACACTCCAGCTTTCCCACCACCACCCACGGGGCCCCTGTAGTTTCAGGCCAGCGCCTCCTCCCTGGTCCCCAAGGTGGGGAAAGGAAAGATGAGGCGCTCTGTGTTTGTTGGCTGGACCTGTGGCTTCTCTCAGCCTTCATCTAGTTTTGTTCTTTAAGATTAGAAAAGTCTCTTTGACTCAGTGGAACAGGTTCCAGCCTGGGATGTGGGAAGCTGAGTTCTAATCCCTCCCTTCTCCAGCCTCTGCGGCTCTGGGCACACTATTTCCTTCCTGCCACCTGCTTCCTCCGGCCACAACAAAGCAATAACCATCCCTGTCCCTGTCCTTTCTTCCCCACCCAGCCCGGGGGAAACTGAGGCCCAGCAGCTCTCAGGGTACTTCAGAAGGAAGGTGCTACATCTGTTTCAGACACAGGCACAAAAGGAAGGAGCCCATCCCCGCAGTCATGTGTCCATCTGCTGGCCCCTGCTCCCACCTGGAGTGAAGTGGGGGCCCCTGTTCCCAGCACCTGGGGCCAGCAGCTGTCTCCCTGAATTACACTAAGTACCCCCCCCCGCCCCCGCAGAGCTGTCTGTCCCTGCGTCTCACAACCTAGAGATCGGAGGAAGCCCTGGGGTCAGGTAAGTAGCCCCAGGAGCACCCTTGGTCAGAGCTTTCTCTGTGAAAGCAGCCCCGGAAAACTGAGCCTGAAGTGAGACAGCTCAGGCCTGGCACAGGCGGCAGCGCCTTGCCGCTGGCTCGGGCCCTTCCCTGGACTTTTGGACTTCCTCCGTTTTTTCTCTGGGTCTGTCTTCATCCATGCCTGCTCTGAGATGCTCCCCACCCCTCCCTGTACCCGGGACCACCGCCCCCTGGTGTTTTCTTTCTCCTGCAAGTGTCCCCTGGATCCTGCTGCTTTCTGGAAGGCCGTCCTGGGCCACATCCTATGCTCCTCTCCCTCCCCCACAAAGACAACCAGAAGGACAAGGCTTGAACACGCCGATGCCCCTGCGCGTGGCTCCCCTGACCATCCGTTTTCCGGGAAGTTGCCCTGCTCCCCTTGTCTGTGTCCTGCGTGTGTATGTCGTGTCTCGTTTAGATTGTGAGCCCCCTGGGCAGGGATCCTTGTCTGCATACGTGTTCTGTGTGGCACACCCAGGTGTGCTAATAAACATTCATCTTCAGAACAAGAGCACCAGGTGTCTTGAGGAAGCTTTGGGATGGATGTCTGAGTAAGCCCAGGTGGTGGCACTGGAGGCAGGGAGGGACTTCTGGGCAGGGCCCCCAGCTCCAAGAACCTGTTTCCCCTTTTCCTGTGTCCCTGAGGGCGGGTGGGAAGGGGACGGGTTATGTCATTAACAAGGGTGAAGGCTCCAGCCCTGCGTCTCCGCTGCCACGCTGGCCATCAGGGCTGCTTGTCTGGAAGAGGGTTGGGGCGGGGGCCTCAAGAACAGGCCGTAGTTCTCAGTCATTCCACTCACAGACCTGACTGCCAGCTAGGGACGAGCAGCTCTTCTGTGACTCAGTGAGCACTGGGTTGGGAGTCCTCACACCGGTGGGTGAGTCACTCGCCCTCCCTGCCGCCTCCTCTGCCTTTCCCTCTGCTTGGTTCCCACAGTAGGAAGGAGGCTTCCTGCTCTGACCACGAGCTCCCTTGGCCTCTGCCCCTGAATCCCTGGTACAAACATGACTCTTCAGGAATTTCCCTGCCCTACTCCCCCGTGGCCTGCCCACCCCTGACTGCCCCAGTATGATTCGGGGAACCACAGGGGCGGCCCATCCATCCCATCCCATTGTTACAAGCATCCCTTCTAGTCTCCCCTGTCCCCTGCTCCCCAGAGGCCAAGTGGGAATCACAGGAAGTTGTGGGTGGGGTAATGCTAGGACTCCTAATACAGTGCCCTTTCTGACATCAAGGGGAGCCATGACACCCAGCTGTCCTTGGCAGTAGGTCTCTCCCTACTCACATGGAGACAGTCAATTGTGCTCTATAGCATCAGCACCCAATTTAACCAAACTTGAACTTTCCAGAAGGGACGGACTTCTGAGGGAGAGCACGTGAGCCAGGGACAGAGCCCACCCCCATTCCCCGGGGAAGCTCCCGCTCAGCTGGCAAGCAGTCATGGCATCGGGTGCCATGTTTGACAAAGCAGAAAGGTAGGACCCTGAGTGCCTCAGGGTGGCCTAGGGGACTCATTGCCAAGCCTTTGCTCCAACCTAGAGTCCTCAGGTGAGAGCAGCAGGGGAGGGGGTATAGGGAAACAGACCAGACAGAGGGAGGAGACCTAAGCTCACTAATGCCAGCAGTTACTGCAGGTGACCATGGCTACATCTGCATCCTGCTTCGCCTGTGTCTAAGGTTTGCATGAAAAGGGCAGGGCGGGTAGCTCACACCTGTAATCTCAGCTAATCTCAGCACTTTGGGAGCCGAGGCGGGTGGATCACAAGGTCAGGAGTTCGAGACCAACCTGACCAAGATGGTGAAACCCCGTCTCTATGAAAAAGTACAAAAATTAGCTGGGTGCAGTGGCAGGCGCCTGTAATCCCAGCACTTTAGGAGGCTGAGGGAGGCAGATCACCTGAGGTCAGGAGTTCGAGACCAGCCTAGCCAACATGGTGAAACCCCATCTCTACAAAAAATACAAAAATTAACCGGACATGGCGGTGCGTGCCTATAATCCCAGCTACCCAGGAGGCTAAGGCAGGAGAATCACTTGAACCCGGGAGGCAAAGGTTGCAGTGAGCCAAGATCGAGCCACTGCACTCCAGCCTAGGCAATAGAGCGAGACTCGTCTCAGAAAAAAAATGAAATATAAATAAATGAATAAACACAACTCCTTGTGTATAGATGAAGAAGCTAAGGCCCAGGGGAGTCATGACTTGCTCAAGATCACTTGGTCAATAGCAGAACTAGGCCTGGAAGACCTGCCTTCTGATTCTAGGTCTAGGAGTATTTTCCCTATGCCGTGATACAAGTGGCAGGCCAAGAAGACAGTCCCCAGTCAGCTGCAGCTCCCACCTGAGTGATCATCTCTCAAATGACTTTCTCCAACTTTCCAGACCCCTGGAGGGCCCCCAACAGGGGGAACTCTGGGAGAGACAAGGTCTTCAGCAGCCAGGCCCCAGACCCTCTTCCTCCTTGGGAAGGATGCAGCCACCGATCTTCCCCACCCACCACCTCCTTCTGTCCATTCAAGGCCTTCACTCTCGTTTGCAAGCTGACTGCCCAGATCCATGCCCAGCCTCCTCCTTAGCCGGGGCCTAGCCCCGTGTGCCAGCAGAACTGCTGGGCAGGGCCTGACCTTTTGGCCTGGTATGACATCAGCCCCTGTTGCCATGGTGACAGAGGCCTGGCAGGATCTTCTCAGGGGAGATGGGCCTCCATGCTTGAGGTTTTACAATTTTCTTCCTTTCTTTAAATCGTTATTTATTATTTTCCTGAACAACAAGGGGGGAAAGAAATGCCAAAACCGAGCAAAGAGGCTAAAAAGGAGAGAGAAAGAGAAAAATGGAGCGAGAGACGGAGGGAGGCAAGTCTAGAGTCACGGAGGGAGAGGAGGGGCAGTGCCAGTGAAAGAGGAGGGAAAGTTCAGCCAGCTTGAGGGTGATTCAAAAATATACAGAATCTTCTGCAGAACCAAGCTGTGAGATTCTGCGAGATAGGAGAGCAGCCCCGAGGGGCAAAAGCCACCCCTGACGACAGCACTTGTTCCCAGAAAGACAGCACACAACAGTTAGCAGGGCTGGTCTGACACAGAGAGGGGGGCACACGGGCGGGGGCAGTGCCAGAGGGAGCCCAGGGTCCCCATAGCAGTGGGTTCCGGTTCTCCCAGGGCTTATAAATAAACAGGCACGTGGGAAACACACATTCCTTCTCCAAGAAATAGAATTTATGTTTACAGCCAGTTAATTTTTTCTTCTCCCTAAAGAAAACATTACCATGTGGGGCCCCTGCCCCAACAGTGTCCCTGAGTGTCCTTGGCCCTGGCCCCCTCTTCCCGTTATTGCTTGGATGAGGAAGATCTGGCTCTGGGAATTGCAAAGCAAGGCCCCTCTCCTCACCCCCTCGGGGCTGTCCCTGGTGACGGAGTGGAGGTACAGAGTGCCAGTCCCGTGCCAGCCACCCTGGCCGTGCCCATTTAAGGGAAAGGAGAGTGCAGGCCGTGGGAGAGGTGCTGAGCTGCCTCCCAGAGCAGAGAGCCCCTCTCTGCGGTGCAGGAGGCCCTGGAGGCACGGTGGCTTCTTTTCAAATTTGACAGCTGGAAGGCTCAGGCTATGGGGAGGGGGAGGGGGGTGCTCTTTTTCCCAGCAAGATTCCAGGCACATGCTTAGAGAAGAGAACAGAATACAGGGTGGAGGTGACCCCTTGCCTTCTGTGCCCTATACAAATCTCAGGGGGCCGGGGAGGGAGGTATGTACGATCAGCCCTGGTGGAGGGGTGAGGGCAGCTTCGGTGTTGGGGCCCCCATCTGTTTCCCACTTCTGTCCCGGGCACCAAGCCCCTGCCCCCGGGCCAGGCCTTCTTCCCAAGGGCAGTCCACCCCAGAGGCGGCGGCTCCTGCCCTAGAAAGGGTGGGCCCAGGAGATCCAAACCCCAGAAGGTGGGAGGGTGGTGGGCGCCCTGCATCCAGACTCAGCAAGACGTGAAGATTCTGTGGTCCTCAATGACCCTGGTTCCAGGAGGAAGCTGGCTCCTGTTTTATCAGTGGCTCCATCGGGGACTGGACCCAGCCCAGACTTCTTGGTCTGACAATTGCCCACAGATCAGCCAGGGGGCCGTCAGTCCTCTTACTACCTAGGAGTATCTGAAGATGAGCCCCGGGCCTGCCAGTGCCCGGCAGCTCGCCAAAAGTGGCCCCTCCATTGCCCCAAGTAGGGGCCCACGGATCCCGCAGGCTAACGCAGCCAAAGCTTCCCAGAGCCCCCCCTCTCAGAGTGGCCGACGCCCATCAGCCCAAACAGAGGCTCAAGTGCCCAGTCCTGGAGCGGCTTCCAGGGCGCGAAGGCCGTCCCCGGGGGCGCCCAGAGTCCGGGAGCCAGCGCCGCCTATGAGCAGGTCTTCCTCCTCCTCATCCTCAAAGGCGCGTGCTGGGCGCCGGGGCGGAGGCCGGGGCGTGGGCTCGTCGCGCTCCGCCATGCGCTCGACGGCGCCCTCGCCCACGAGGAACACGGTGTCCGCGACGCGCGGGGGCCCGGTGACCGGGTTGTGGTCGTAGGAGAAGACGCGCAGCGCGCGTAGCGGATGCAGGTCGGGGAAGCCGCCCAGGCGGTTGCGGTCGAGGTCGAGGATGTGCAGGCGGCCCATGCGCAGCAGCGCGGGCGGGAACTCCTCGAAGCGGTTGCCGTAGAGCCAGAGGCCACGCAAGCCCGTCATGCGCGGCAGCTCCGCCGGCAGCGCGCGCAGCCGGTTGTCCCCCATCTGGAGCGACTGCAGCGCCACCAGGCGCAGCAGCGGCCTCGGGAAGCGCCGCAAGAAGTTGCCCTCGATCCAGAGGCAGCGCAGGCTCTGCAGCTGCGCAAAGTCCGCGGGCAGCGCCAGCAGCCGGTTGCCGCCCAGGTAGAGGCGCGTGAGGTGCGGCAGGCGGCACAGGCCGTCAGGCAGGCGCTCGAGTTTGTTGAAGTCCAGCGCCAGGATGCGAAGCTCGCGCAGTTCCTCGATCTCCTCGGGCAGCTCGCGCAGCCCTGTGCCGCTCACATACAGCTTCTGCAGGCGGCTCAGCGCGCACACGGCGCTGGGCAGCCGCCGCAGCCGCCGCCCGCTCAGCTCCAGCTGCTGATCGCCGCTGCGCAACTGCTCCTCCGCGTCCGACGGCAGCTCATCCGGCGTGGACTCGGCGATGCCCATGGTCACGGGCCCCGACCGGGGCCGCCAACACCGCCACCGCCACCGCCCGGCATCGCCCCGCCCAGGCCGCCCCACGGCCGCCCCGACGGGGCCGGAGCCGCGCCGGCCCCCGGGCCCCCCGCCCCGGCCTGCCCCTGCGCCGGGAGGGGGGCCGTGCCGGGCCGGGAGGAGGCGCCCGCTTGGGGCCCCGCCGCCGAGTGCCGCGCTCCGCCGCCCGCCCTCGGGCCTCCCCCGCTGCCTCCGCCGGAGGCCGACTGAATGGGGTTTGCGCTGACTCGCAGCTTAGCGACCCGTCGCCCTGGCAACCCCGACGCGCGTGCCGCTGCCAATGAGGCGGAGGGTGGGCGGGGCGGGGCGGGGCCAAGGCGCCACCGGAGCGGGGTCCCAGCGCCGGAGCCCGCCCCTACCTGCCCATCCAGCCCACCGCGGAGCAAGCGCAAACCGAGGGATTCCCCTCCCGCCAAGCCTGGCCCTGAGACCCGACGCCGTTTGGTGTGCGGTTGTGTGCGCCCCAGAGCCGCGGGTCTAAGAGAGAGGAGACACCGGCTGTGGACCAAAGACTCTGAACTAGAGGCTCACAAGGAAGGGCTGAGGGGTGCGGTCACTGCCGGCCATTCACGTCCAGCGGCGTGCGGCCAGCCTCCCTGCTGGGGTCACTTCAGTATAGTAACTCGAAACTGTTACTGTCCCGCCCTTTTCATGTCTGCTGGTTTTACCGGGACCTAAGGCTTGGCCCCGCCCTGCCTAATTGCCCCACAGCTTCCTCATTGCTACACTCACACCCCTCTCCCCTGCCACGATCCCTCCACGGAAGCTCAAGGTCTGTGTGTGGCTGCGGTGGACAGGGGACTGGGACACATGAACGCCTTTGAGCCACCAATCATGACCACTCGCATTCCGTGTCTCCAGCCCTTCCCTCCTGCCCTCTCCCCTCACCTCCCATCCAGAGCCCTTCTGTCGGAGCTCCTGGCAGAAAAGGACGGGCTGCCACTGGCTTTGAGCCCACATGTGCCCACACTATGCTGAAAGCATTGCGTTGGGTCCTTGGCACAGCCTAATAAGGTAGACACCCTCATCACCCCGATTTTAAAGATGGAGAAACTGAGGTTCAGAGACAGGACTTGAACTGGGTCAGTCTGAGCTGGGTGAAGTGCCCAAGGTCAGGTTCGTGTGACTGGAGAGCCTGTGTTTCTATCTATAAACTATACGGATAGATGGAAACTCCCCCTCCAGCAATGAATTTTCTCACCACAGAGCCTCTGATTCTCGGGACAAAGCTACAAAGAGAGCATTCTAATCCCAGATGAAAGACGAGAAAAGTGACCTGACAGGAATTAGGCGCCCTGCTTAAGGTCACACAATGCATAGAGGTTGCAGCTCGGGAGCTGAATTTTCGGGCTCCAAGCCTCCTGCGTCTTGCCTTCTCTTGAACCCGGCTGATGTGATCCATGTAACTGGCTGAATGGACTGACCTTAGGACAGCACACTGCCCTCTGGCCCACCCCCACTGCCATCCCCACTGCAGGCAAGGAGGAGGGAGGACAACCCAAGGGCAGAGAGCAGTTGCCAATGCAACCCGAGGATGGGAGCCATCCCCACTGGAATGTAAACTGCCCAGGCAGGCAGGTTTGTGCATCTCCCTCCCTGCTGGCACAGGCTCTAGAGCATATAGTAGACAGTCAGTGAAAATTTTTTATTATTTATTTATTTATCTTTCGAGACAAGTTTTGCTCTTGTTGCCCAGATTGGAGTACAATGGAATGATTTCGGCTCATTGCAAACTCCGCCTCCTGAATTCAAGCGATTCTCTTGCTTCAGCCTCCCAAGTAGCTGAGATTACAGGCACCTGCGACCATGCCCGGCTAATTTTTGTGTTTTAGTAGAGACAAGGTTTCATCATGTTAGTCAGGCTGGTCTCAAACTTCTGACCTCAGGTGATCCACCCGCCTCGGCCTCCCAAAGTGCTGGGATTACAGGCTCCATTGCGCCTGGCTGAAAAATTTTAACATTAAAAAAACTGGAGGCAAACATTGCATACAGTTTTCACTGTACAGATCCTAAGTGTACTCTTGGATGCGTTTTGACAAATGTACACACCCCTGTCCCATTTCCATCACCCCACAAGTTCTCTCAAGCCTCCTGCAGTCAATCCCCACCTCGCAGAGGCATCTGTGATCCTGACCTCTATCTTCATGGATCAGTTTCACCTGTTCTTGAATCTCACACAAATGAAACTATTCAGCACAGACTTTTTTCAGATAATATGTATTTGTTGGATAAAAGAATGAAAGGGCAGAGCAATAGCAATTCTAATATGGCAAGAGGTGTCAGGGGACAGACAGGTGATAGGGGACACAGAGGCAGATGTTGCTCTGAGCCAGGAACCAGCCATGTACCTCCATCCTGGGAGAAACTGGCAAAACGAAAGCAGAAATCCAGGCCAAGGTAGAGGACCCAGGTGGAACCCAGACACCAGACCTGAGGTATAGGAGTCTCAGCCCTAGCCAGAGGGGCTTCAGGTTCCTCCCAGATGTCACTTAAGCTCCAATCCAGTTCTCTCCCTTCTACTCATTCAGGAGGACTTCTTGGAAGAGGGAAAGGTACCCCAGAGACCAGAAAGGTAGGGAATATCCAGCCAGGCTAATGGGATGAGGATGAGTCCCTCCCCCCACACCGAAGCAGTTTCACCGAGGGAATATTGGCTGTGGAGGAGGAGGCTTCACAGCAGCCTCTCCACATGCTCAGGCTGGCACTCCAGCACCAGGCTGCCCTCTTGGGCTTCACTGGCACGGGCAGCACCACATGAGCCCACATGAGCCTCTCCACCCTGGTACCAGCCTGGCGGAGCTTCCTGGGGCTGAGCACATGGAGGACCAGACCTCTTGTTTCTCAGAGCCTTTTTCTTGCTCTCCGCAGATCCTGTACCTTCGCCTCCCACCAGGCCCTTCTCAGTGGGTAAAGGTAAAATGTGCTGGCGTTCCGGGCCCACGCAGGCTGGCAGTGGGGCAATCATCATGATGAATCATGCTGGCACCGCAGGCACCCGGTCCTTGTTGAGGCGTAACTAATGAATTAGCTTCACCCCCAGCACGGGGCCTCTCAGCCTTTCCCCACTTCCCAGGAAGGCAGGAAACTGAGACCTGGGAGGGGGAAGCAGGGGAGGAGAGAGGGCTCTGTCAGCTCCAGGCAAGGGTCCCAGACCCTGGCCAGCCCCTCCGCCCCCGCACACGCTACAAAAATGCCCAAAGTGCAGGTCCCCCGGGCCCCCAGAAACTGCCTCTCTGATACTAATCATGAGCTGTAACTATGAATGCCCACCCCAAACTCTGTGTTTTTCAAAAGATTTTTTAAAATATAGGAAAAGTACAACACTGTGATAAACATCCCCATGCCCAGTACCCAGCACTGACGATTGTTCACATTTCGTCATACTTGCTTTAAGCCTATTTTCTTTTAAATAAAGGGAAGAAAACAGCGCGAATAGCATATGAGTCTCCTTTGTCCCTTTCCAATGTCCCCATAAGCACTACTGCCCCCACACCCTGACCCTGCCAAAGTCCCCTCTGGTTTTCCCTCCCTGCCTTAGGGCCAGGACCCCCCACCACGCCCGCCCCCCGGCTGCTGGGATTTGAATAAGATGATGGGATGGTAGCATCTTAGGTTCTTAGAAAACAAGGATTCAAACCAATTAGAGCCAATTACGAGACGTCGTCCCTGGGAGAGTGCTGAGCTCCTCTGGGAGGTCACAGGCTCTGTTCAATGTCTGCAAGAAGCTAGAGACCCTTGTTCCTTAAAAGTGCTGGGAGGCAGAGACTCACCAATGCTGTGCACAATTCCCACAGGTTCGTGGTCTCCTGGGTGTCTAGGCCAACACCTTTATTTGGCAGAAAAGGAAAGTGATGATGTCCTCACTTCATGGCCCACTCCCCTTACCTGCACCAGCCAGAACTTCAGTTCTGCCATCTTTCAGGTATTCATTTAACAAACGTTAAGCACCCCTTCTATGCCTAGGCACTTGGCAGTACCATGAATGTGAACATAATAGACAACAATCCCTGCCTTTGTGGAACATATATTCATGCGAGCGGAGATCATCAAAACACATGTCAGGTCATGATCAGGCTATGGAAGAAATAAAGCAGGAAAAGAAAGGAGAAAGACTGGCCGGGCGCGGTGGCTCACGCCTGTAATCCAGCACTTTGGGAGGCCGAGGTAGGCGGATCACTTGAAGCCAGGAGTTCGAGACTAACCTGGCCAACATGGTGAAAGTCCATCTCTGTTAATAAAAAGTTAAATTTCCAAGAAAGAGAGAGGAGGACTGAGAAATGTGTGGAGGGTGAGGAGGGGCTGTCATTTAAAACTGAGGGGCGAGGGCCAGGCACAGTGGCTCACGCCTGTAATCCCAGCACTTTGGGAGGCTGAGGCAGGAGGATCATGAGGTCAGAAGTTCAAGACCAGCTTGACTAACATGGTGAAACCTCGTCTCTACTAAAAATAGAAAAAATTAGCCAGGTGTGGTGATACATGCCTGTAATCCCAGCTACTCGGAAGGCTGAGGCAAGAGAATTGCTTGAACCCAGGAGGTGGTTGCAGTGAACAGAGATCACACATTGCACTCCAGCCTGGGCAAGAAGAGCGAAACTCTGTCTCAAAAAACAAAAAACAAAAAAAAAACTGAGTGGCTAAAGCCAGGTGCGCTAGCTCATGCCTGTAATCCCAGAGCTTTGAGAGGCCAAAGCTAGCAGATCACCTGAGGTCAAGGGTTCTAGGCCAGACTGACCAACATGGGGAAACCTCGTTTCTACTAAAAATACAAAAATTAGCTGGGTGTGGCAGTGGGTACCTGTAATTTCAGCTACTTGGGAGGCTGAGGCAGAAGAAGTGCTTGAACCTGGGAGGTGGAGGTTGCAGTGAGCCGAGATTGCACCACTGCACTCCAGGCTGAGTGACAGAGTGAGACTCCGTCTCAAAACAGAAACAAAAACAAAAAAGCCTGAGTGGCCAGAAGAGGCTTCATTGAGACCATGGCATTGAGCAAAGATGAGAGAGCAAGCCACACAGATGTCTGGGGGCAGGGTAGTGGAGATGGCAGTGCCAAGCCCCTGTGGCAAGAGTGTGCCTGGGCCTTTGGGAGCAACGAGGGGCCCAGTCCAAGGAGCCGGGGAAGCATGGTGGCCAAGGAGATCAGAGAGAGAAAGTAAGGACGGGGCAGGCCGAGGAGGGCCCGTGTCCTTCGTAAGGACTTTTGGCTTTGACTCTGGGTGAGAGGTCACTGGGAAATTTTGCACAGAGGATACACATTTAATAGGATCCCTTTGGCTGCAGCTGCAGGAAAGGGGTCTGTGTGTGTGTGTGTGTGCGTGTGTGTGTGTTGGGGAAAGGAGTTTCTGCAACTTTAACCTCTCTCCTCGTGGTTCTCTCCCTCGGGATAATGATAGCTGTCATTTACTGAGCACCTACAGGTTGTCAAATTTATTCTTCACAACAGCTCTGCCAGGCAGGTACTACATTCCCCATCACCCTCCCACTCTACAGATGGAGAAGCAGATTCACAGAGGTTAAGCAGTTTGAGTTTCAATGTGGTTAAGCAGCTACTGCCAAGCTACAAGGTCACGCAGTCGGTGAGGGACAGAGCCAGGATTCAAACCCAGTCCATCTTATTGCAAAGCCCAGGCTTTGCCTACCACGTCTCATTGACTCTGTGGGCTGTGAGAAATTAGAGAAACCACCCCAGGTGCTCAGATGCTTGCCCCCATCCTGCAAACAGCAAAAAGATTTCCAGGGGTGGCCAGGCATGGTGGCTCATGCTTGTAATCCCAGCACTCTGGGAGGCCGAGGCAGGTGGATCACAAGGTCAGGAGTGCTAGACCAGCCTGGCCTACACGGGGACACCCCATCTCTACTAAAAATACAAAAATTAGCTGGGCGTGGTGGCAGGTGCCTGTAATCCCAGCTACTCGGGAGGCTGAGGCAGGAGAATTGCTTGAACCCGGGAGATGGAGGTTGCAGTGAGCCTGGATTGTGCCACTGT